TTATAGTCGAGTTGACTATCTCTTTGAACCAGGCCAATATAAAAGAAGTAATAAAATGTGCTTTTTTGGACCCTACAACACATATGTGATCAGACGAAGAGTAGAGGAAAACAAGCTCTATGAACTTAATACTGTTCTGACTTAAATGTAGCACTAATTCATATTTCAACAAGTTCAATTAAACAAGTGATGATGCAATCAATTGATTTTTTAACTTCTTGTAAATCTGTTCAGTTTACTCTTTTACTAGTCAGTCAATTTATATATAGTTGGATTAGCATAATTTTATATTTTTCGAAAATTATTTATCTTACCTAAATTTGTCTTTACAGACTAATAAAAGAAACTGGAATTAATAAGTCAAGTGTAAGTGAGATTATATCGGAAAAAGCCGATACTCTCATCTGCTCCCAGTCCAGACGTTTAGAACGATGGGCGGAACATTTTAGAGAACAGTTCAACTGGCCTTCAGCTACTCTACAACTACCCACCATTCCCAGACAATGTGAATGGAACATTGAAGTAGGTCCCCCAACTCTTGCTGAAGTTCAAAAGGCTATAGTTAATCTGAAGCGACGAAGGGCAGCTGGTCCAGATGGACTGGCTCCAGAGGTCTTTAAGGATGGTGGTCCAATTTTAGCGATTAGGTTGACTAATATTTTAGCTAAGATCTGGGAATTAGACGTTATCCCATCTAACTGGTCACAATCACTTATCGTCCCAATATATAAGAAAGGGTCAAAATCATCCTGTGACAACCACAGAGGGATTAGTTTAACTAATATAATATCTAAAATACTAGCTTCGATAATTATCAGATGCCTAACTAAGACTCGTGAACTGCAAACACGAGAGAACCAAGCTGGCTTTAGACCTGGTCGTGGCTGCATCGACCACATATTCACCATTCGTCAGATTCTAGAACACAGGCATACTTATCGGCGTCCGACAAGGGTGGTCTTTCTTGACTTAAAAGCAGTATTTGACTCGGTAGACCGCGAGATTCTGTGGCAGTGTCTGTCATTGAAAGGCGTACCCCAGAAATACATAAACCTTGTGAAGGCTTTTTACTCGAACACTACCAGTCGAGTCAGAACTTATGGCGAACTGTCATCTGCTTTTGCAACCTCAAGTGGTGTCAGTCAGGGCTGTCCACTATCTCGATTTTCGTTTAACTTCATCATAGATCTACTGATGGAAATAACTTTCTCGTCGACTGAATTCTCGGGTATTGATCTCCTTCCAGGAGGTCCACTTATCGACTTAGAATACGCAGATGACATAGTCCTGTTTGGTGAAGACGCTGACAAAATGCAGAGTCTTCTGGTAGCACTGAGCAACAATGCCAGAATGTTTGGAATGCGCTTCTCTCCCTCGAAATGCAAGTTGTTGCTTCAGGACTGGTCTGCGTCAACACCTGAACTAAGGATAGGGAGTGAAGTAGTCGAACGCGTTGACAACTTCACTTATGTTGGAAGTCTGATCAGCCCTAATGGGCTGGTATCGGACGAAATCTCAGCACGGATTCGAAAAGCTCGCTTGGCTTTTGCCAACTTACGTCACCTTTGGCGAAGGCGAGATATCCGTCTATCAATAAAAGGACGAGTATACTGCGCGGCAGTCCGTTCTGTTTTAATTTACGGCAGCGAAACATGTCCATTAAGAGTAGAAGACACTCGTAAGCTATTAGTATTTGACCACAGATGCCTTAGAAATATTGCTCGCATCCGTTGGGATCACCGGGTAAGTAGTAGTGAGGTTAGACGCAGGGTATTAGGAAATGATGGTAAATCAGTTGATGAGGTTGTGAATCTCCATCGACTGAGATGATTGGGCCACGTGTTACGTATGCCTGAACACCGATTACCACGACGTGCAATGCTATCCGGTATTGGAGATGGTTGGAAGAAAGTTAGGGGCGGCCAAACCAAAACGTGGCATCAGTGCTTGAAGACACTAACTTCTAGTCTGAACAATGTTGGTAGATGCAGACTACTTGGTTGGGGTCCGCGTGACTTTCGTAACCAATGGTTGGAGACTCTTGGTGACATGGCTCAGAATCGATCACAATGGCGTCGGTGTATGCACTCTCTGTCTTCCCTTAAACTAAGAGATTAAAATCACTTCATATCTTTCTTTCTACGAACCAATTCTTTCTTGTATAATATTCCTATATGCAATCTTTCCCTTATATATTACCACCTTTGACCTAACCACTGCTATGAATCCGGTGTTCATCTTGTTGTGCTGATGCGGTATGGCAACCTGGACCGATGCACATATGTGCCTGGTCTTACGTTGTAGCTGACTGACTTGTCTTTTTATTGATATGCTACACTTACTTATGTATTTGCAAACATTTCGATAATATAAATTTACACATCTTACTTAAATTTATGTAGTGAACATTGTGAAAACTAAACTGTTATATCCGGGCAAAGAATAAGTGGATAGCAGTAACCGCTAGGATCTATTTGTAGACTATCATTATATATATTCTTACTGTATAACCACTAGGTAACTATATTATATGTATATTCACATTTCCTTCATTATAAGCTTTTATATTGACCTATTGACTATTACTATACGATTTATTATTCTTAAGACATTTCCAAGTTATTAGTAAGAGTCTCTCACATCCAGTTTTTGGCTTAATCTTGTAAAATTGTTATTTCTTATTTTATGGTATGATGAGGCCTGGTTTGTTTGCATGTAAACCCAGTGTGTCTGATATATATGATTCATATAACGGAGGTTGATATTTGTGTTCTGGACTGAACCGGCTGGTTTAGGCGAGAAACTACTATCTCAAATAACTTTAGGCTGCTCATACAAGTATAAAGCTTAATGGTCTGGTTGTATAAGTCGGTGTCTCTAAATGGCGATATTTTCTCGTGATATATTAACAGGCCACAAGCCATAACATAAACCGTACTACTTAATTCCTTAGAACAAAAACACAATAAATTCAAGTCAATAAAGATGATTTGAAGAGGTTGACTAGCCAAATGATTTAAAGTTAGGGTAACTCATTCATTCACTTTGCTTTAAAATAAAGTTGACCAAGCTCAAATCAGAATCGGTGTTTGAAATTCAAGAACTTTTGCAACTAGACCATCTAATGTTCAACTAAATAACTAGTGTTGAAATTGTAGTGACCTACTTTTATGAAGAGAACGCAATTGGTATAATGGAAACAATTATTATTATAACCAATCGTCCCAGTGATGGTTTTACTGTGCCCGTTCGTTTAAGTGTACTGAAAAAATACATTCTTCCGTTGTCTGTGACCTTGCGCGAACTTGTGTACGCTCACTAGTCCCGCTTGTAAATTTTGACACGATCTCGATATTCTTTCGATACCACGAGATCGCTAACAAATACATCTTACTATAACCTTCAATTGCCTTCTGATATTTGGTCTGGTAACTGGCACGTAGTCTTCCTATAATGGTGATCATAATCAACCGCGACTCGACGCCACACTATAAAATCATAATTTCATAAGAGAGCTTGGGAGTCTTTTAATAGCCTAAATGTTAAACTTTGAATAACTGAATCTCTGATTCTAACTATTTAAATTAATACATGTACAACTAAAATTCAGTAAATGAAGCACGTACTCGGTTACTGAGTTATTTTAACATTTAATTGAACTCAATAATGTATATCGCTCCAGTGTACCAAATTTTATGTTCGAGTCTTGAGTGCGGAATCGTACTGCCATCCAGTACTTCAAGGTCAGATCAACTCGTGATTTCAATTGTGGTCATAAAATGAGTCAGGTAAATAAATAACTAAATGTATATGTCTGACAATCTTTATTTTTTCAAAAAATGTTCATCTAAATAATTCTAGTAATGTGTTAGACGAAATCCAGAACGTTAGCGAAGATTATATAGTCAGTAATATTCGAAGAGAAGAAATTGCTTCTGTATATATTTATTATTATCACTATGATTTTCATTACATTAAACATATATCGCCTATTATATGTTTAATTTTTTAAAAATATAATTATTTTCCTCTACAAATTTTTTAGATAAATGAAAAACAAACCAATCATAATTGAGAAACAAATTCCCAATAATTCCAATGAATAGATAGCTAATATAATTGTTTAAGTATTATTAATATTAGTCAATTCAATTAAAAAGCAAAGAAGAATAGATAGAGTAAGCAATGGAAGGTTTCAATATGCATATGCGAATCCAAGTTGTAAACTTACACATATACACAGACATAAATAGAAAACCAATGTAATAAAAAAAAAGAACGATATAGTTTTCAGCAGAAAAAAATCACTAGATATATACATACACAACAACAGTATTGAGTTTAGTTGAAAGTTTAGGTAAAGAAGATCCTTTAAAAAGAGATGATAAATAAAAATAATGATTCAGAACTATATATATATATATTGGCGGGGTTGATTCAATATTTTGTCTAGTTGATTAAAACAACGGATGTAATTTGGCAAAATATTGGTGTATATAATTTAATAAACATGCAATGATAAAGATTATTTGTTAATTGTGTACATAATTTGCTTTTTTTAATTCACAATAAAATGCATCCAAAAACAACTAAGAAGAAACATACTGAGTATTACAGGAAGAAAAATAAAAGCTTCTTTTTTGACGACAATTTGAGAATATAGTAAGCGTAACATTGTGCGCATATATAGTTAGGTAAAACGATTGTGGATTTTATTATTATTATTAATAGTATGACCAATCAACAGTTATCCAGTGAAAGGCGATATTATAGGTAAGACTATACTTACACACCAAAACAGATTATGTTCACTCGTCACAAATTACGCTGAGTAAGATTTTGAAAAAAGGCGCTAAATGCATATATGTAGTATCCGCTATATTATATTTCCAAAACTGTTTGTTTCCATCTGTTCAATATTTGATAATTAGAAAAAATTCAAATGGTCAAAAGTTTATTGAATTCAATACTAAAATGAAAAATAAGTAGTATGTACATACCATAAATAGAGCTGTTATATTTCGTTAAAAAACGTCGAATAAAAACAATAAATACAAAATTAACGAAAAAACAAGTATAGAAAGATCGAAAGTATGGTAGCTTTTCTTCAGCTAGTTTCGAGAGTCTTATTTTCTTGCATAAATGTTTCATGAATATCACCACTGTCATCATCATGTTCTTCATAATGAGTTACGTTTCTCATTTTCCCATCCCTCGTTTTATTATTATTATTATTGTCAATATAACCATCGCGATTAACAATATTCACAGTTTTATGATTGATGATAGTTGAATTGTCATTCATTTCGGTCATCTTATATACAGAAGTATCAGACAAATTCATTGCTTTTTGGAATTGTGATTTAGTTTCACTGTTTACTTGATTATCTGGATTATCAATATCTACATTGTCATCGTTAGTACTGTTGTTTAAAGCATCTGTATTGTCTAGCATTGAAGAAGCTGACTTTAACTCTGGAATCAAGCGTTCTACAATATCTGCAATTAGTACACGAGCCACTGGTGCTTCAACACAAACTGGTGATAGACCAAGCATAGCACGTAAACGTGAAAATCTCCATTCAAGTTGTTCAGTAACAATTTGACATAGATTTGTATGTTCTTCACTTTTATGATTGTAACAAGATAATTTAGTTAATCGACTAATAGCCAAATCTAAGGCTACACGAAGAGCATGAAGTGATTCGACAGCTGATCTACATGAATTTAAATCGTCTGATTGAAATTGAGACTAAAATTTTAAAAAAGTCACAAGATAAAAAATCAATAGTGCTATCAAAATTTCCTCAAAGAAGGTAACAAAGAAAACATTAAATTTTGGTATATGTGATACGTAGCTCGCAGTCAAATCCATGGTGTGCATGTCATCTTATTTGGGACTAGTTATCTGGATGAATTTCCAACAATCGATGTGTCAAAGTTCTTTTGCACTAGAACTGTGAGAAACCTTTTCTAGTATATGGGATTAGAACCGACTGAATACCTACATAAAATATATAAGATATAATACTAGGTAATATTTGACTGTGTACTCATGTGCACGGACATATTTCCTACACAAATTCTAGTCAAATCTAATCAACAACGACTTTGATAACAAAATGGTTTGAACAAGATCAACCTATATGAATGAAGCTGTCTGGAGTTTATTGATGAAGGACAAATAATTCACCTGATCTAACAAAGTAAATCTGGTTTACGCGATAACCCCAATCAGTGGTTAGTGACGGCAAATGACACAAATTAGAATCAGTCACAATGTTCCAGATGCATTGACTGTTTATATTTCTCTAGATCTTCAGTTTCAGTATTTCTATATAAGTACCTTTTCATTCTGTCTTTTTCGAATCATATGTTTAGCCTTTCCCATTATCATTTTATATATATTACTATTTCTATTTGTTTCCTATTCATATTGTCATGCTAATAAGATATGTCAATTTAGGCCGACGCATATATATGCCGGGTTCCATGTAGATTATGATAGATTGACTATTTAATCGGCATTAGTTCACCTTCAACTATGATAAAGACTGTACTTACTTAGACTAATTGAATGCTGAAATTTATCCTCTACAGATTACTTTTAGGAATTGAGCAAGAAACGAAAAACGAAGAACATAATTACTTGAAATTCAATTCACGTAGTATATACATTTTCCTTACTTAAAATCATGGATCAACATAATTAATCTATTTCAAGTAAAAAAAGGTTAACGAATTTCATACAGAGGATGAGTTGGCAAACTAAGAACTAAGTAAATTGAATTCGGAAAACCGAATAACAAAAATTACAACATACTACCTAATTTGCACTACTGAAGAGACCAAAAGACCTGGTATTCGACTATGTATGTATTTGAAAAGATACACCATTGAAATGTAGTATAAAAAAAACAGCTGTCCAGTGCTCTGTGATTTTATATAATTCCTCAGTGATGGAATGAGGGAAGTTACCTTTTAATCGCTTTTACTAGTTTCAAACAGAGGGGATTCGAACAGTGAACATATATAAGTAAACATGAAAAACTGTAGTTTAGAATATTATCAAATCATATTGATCACTTTTAGGTTGATACATAAAACGCGGGATGAATGGACATCTACATTCGACAGTGAGATGACAGATCAGCAATTAGTTTTTCATACTGATCAACACGCAAATGCTAATTACGATGATTTTCATGTTTGTCAGCTTACATCATATGGTCCAAACAGTTGCAAATAATGTAAAAATCGGAAAAAATATATCAGTCTAAGTCATCATGAGATATGGGAAATCAACATGGTATAAAGCGAAAAATCAAATAGAGCAAATAATAGTAAGAAATAGTTGACATGAAGCATTTGCAGTCTTGAGTTTACCTAAACTTATACTGTTAATTATAAATAAAAATAGATGAAGTTATTAAAATTTTTATAACCACTGACTACAAAAAATTAGTTGGTATGAGCATGATTATTATTGCTTATATTCCTATCAATGTGAAAAAAACCCATTGTGATTTACCGAAGTTGAGTTTGGAGTATGTGTTGAGCTCTTGGGCACAGATTCACTGTTCATTCGACAGTTTGTCTCTTGCATAGTGGTAAGGTATTGTGAAGAATATTTTTTGACAGCAGGCAAACGATTCTTTGAATCTGAACGGCAAAAATGCAGTAATAATGGCTAGTTTAACATTTATTTGACGTTCAACTTACAAACGGTATATATATATATATAAACAAAAATAGTGCAAAGTTGATCTGATTAAAATATTTGGGCCATCTAATTTTTTATTGAAATCGTGAACCGATTAATGTTAAACGATCAGTGAAAGCCTGCAAGTACTGGACGACCGTTTCGTCTTAGTATGGGACTTTCCAGAAGAGGGTATCCACGATCTGGAACGCGGTCTAGCATGCGAACACTTAAGCTGTAGACCAGTGAGTCGGGATACAATGGTGTTGATTTCCAAGTTAAACCGATCTTTGTGTAGCCATCTTCCATTGTCTTCTGTGGGTAAATGCTTCTCTTTTTTAATGGTACAAATATTAAAATTAATTCATGTTTTAAATTTATTTGAACTCAATAGTTATGGATGTTAACTGGATGTAGACATGTTTTATCTTAAAAGGTCTGTGATGCTAAAAACCAGAAAACTCAAACATAAACACTAAAACTGCCTATCTTTAGAAAAAACGAAAGACAAAACTACGAGATTCATACATCTTATATATGAAAGACGGAAAAATAGTTGTAGCAACCAAACTGATAGAAAATCCTGTTGATCGTAAGCAGTTAGCAGATATTGAATATTTAAGAAATTCTATGAAAAAATATTTTCGAATAATTACAATATCAATGTATGAAATTTGTTGCAATATTGGACAATCGGTGAAGAAAATTCCTTACTCTATTGAACTACGTTGTCATTATTCAACGACTAGGTTACGAATGAATGTTCCAAAAGTGAAAAACTGAAAATTACTCAAATAAATAATGCCATCACAGAAACTGAAACGAATATAACGAGTCTACATATTTTAAGTTGTCCGTTAATGTGCTAAAAAAACGTTTCATCACTAAAATGAAAATGTGAACTTGATTTAAGTGAACAAAAAGCAAAAGTAGGAAACATTCAGTGAATTAGGAGAAAATACATAGCTAAATCACATGTAATCATCAGTAATTGAAGAAATAATTAAGATTTCAAAACAGACCACTCAGTGCTCCTTTCTTGAATGATATGGTAGTTGACCAAATCAGACCGTAATAGAAATTTACGAAAATATTTGAGATAAACTACGAGTTTTCTGTATAAAAAAAACTGAACGAGAATCGAGATACAAAGAAATAGTATATAGGAAAATGGACAAACACAGTGCAATAGTGGGACAATCGGAAAGACTTTTTGAAAAAGAGGATGCTCTACAAGTGCAGAAATGATTGAACATAAATCTAACTACTTATTGTCTGTAATAAGTAATATGAATCAATACACGAAGAAAAACAAACGGAATGAAATAATGGGGCATACTATCACAGAAGACAATTATATTTATTAATGAGATACTCTGGTTTGAGTTACGAACATGTGTGAACCCTGATGATACTAGCCAACAGTAAGAACCGAAGTAGGAAAAGTAGGAGTGTCACGTTCAATCCAGATTAATACCATCAGACTACATACATTTATGCAATATGACTGAAAAATATTTTGTGATTATACAAACAAGAGCACAAAGTACAGTTCTAGTTAAATTTTTATTGCATGAATTTGTCTGTCAAAAACTCGAAAAATGCACAAAAATAGTTTATTTAACCGTAATATCACATTCATTAATGAAGTGACCTAGTATCTACAATAACAATTGAGAACTAAAATCGAAACATCAAATGATCAATGCTATTTATCAAGAACGAAGGGACAAAACAGAATTATCATGATAATAAAACGATGAATGTAGTATACATTCAAATTTGTCCATTTACCAGATTAAAATGTGTGCCGATTTGAGTTATTGAAAAGAGATTTTTACAAACAAAAATCAATACGCATAACAAAAACCTAATTGAGATCAGGGACAACTGAACTACCTTTTTAAAGAAGTTATCTATAAAATGTGTATGTGTGTAGCATAGCTAAACAATAAATATCAGTATACTGTATATTGTAATAATATACAACATTATACATATAACCAATTGCAGTTGCTTTCTTGATGTGGTTGTCAGGATTGCATATCGTGATAACTCAATCAAGGAGCCATGTTGGCTGAAATACATGTGTCTATCAAGTTAGGCAGGTCTGTTGGAAAACGGTTAAACAAAACACAGTAGACGTCAGGTCTGAAAGAGAAGTGATACTGTCGTTGGATGGAGAATGCTGGTGGGTGGCTTGTGCTCCTCCACGAGGGTAATAATTGCCAGAACTATAAATGTTTGCGCAATATCTTAGATTGATTGAAGTTAGATATTAACATCGTCGGATTCCGGTTCAATGGTCTAGCGGTAAGGTGTTCGCGCACGAAACGGGATGTACTGGATTCGACTCTTGTGTGGGGAATCGTGGATGCCCATTGCCAAGTAATTCCATACTGAGATGAAACAGCCGTTCTGTGCAGCCAGGTTTCCAAGGGTGGTCTAACTTAGGTCGTTTCATGACTTCCATGAAACTCATTAATTTCCGCGACCCTATACTTATAAATGTATAGTAAGTTTTGCAGAATTTAATATTGTATAATTTTAGAATTTGACTAATCGGTTTTAAGATGGCGTTTGTGTTTGGATTTAATATACCAATTAAAAAAGCATGCGCAACATCTATTTATTTGCATACACCTACACATCAAATCAGTGTTTATTATTTATTTGACTGCTCAAAATAAAAAAAAACTTGCCATGATAATTTGATGATGATATTGATGACATCAATAAAGCCTTTGAAGTTATATCCACCTAAGTTAGTGAAGAATATTGAAAAAAAGAAAAAAAAACAGAGGAACTAGAAATGTTGAAAAAATTTCTTTTCCATTATATACAAAATAAGTATCACAAATATGAATATATAATTTTGTCAAGTCCGTATATATAACCATCCGTTTCGGTCTAGAGACATTGTATACACACCTTTTCTCAAATATCGTTGTTATTAAGTAGTTGAATATATAAAAAAAAACACATATAAGATGTATGCTACTTTTCAATATTTCATTGTTTGGAATTAAACGGTAAAAACTAGAGTGGAATATTAAAAATAAAAAATACAATAGCCAAATACAAGTATTCGCGTGCTTAGTTTAACCTCATGCTTACTAAAACAGCTACATATGAAATACATGATTCCTTGAACCGAAACAAAACATGAAAAATGGTTCGAAATAATTGATTTAACTGTCGAAGATTTAACATTTGTATTGTATAGCCATACGTAATATTTAATCACATTTATTCCGTTTTACACCTCTATACATCACAAATAGATTAAAACACTAATTATTCTACAATGAACTGTTCAAAATGTTTAGACTGTTAGTATATTCAATGACATGTCAGCCATGTGACCAGTAGTTATCACATAATCATATTCAAATAAATCATTTTGATAATCACTAACAGTATTCAACTCATTCAACAAAACAGATAGGGGACATAACTAATCAAAACTCATTAATCTTTATTATTATTAATAACAATAATAATAATAATAATAATAATAATAATAATAATAATAATAATAGAAGTAACACAAAACCTACAGAAGCACGTAAATCCTTCGACTGATTACGCTGTTGACAACGATCACCAGAATTGTAATTCAAAGCATGAATTGTATTTGTATCATCAAGAAAATGATGTAAACTATTTGTTGAATATAGATTGACAGAATCATCAACAATTTTAGAAGGAGGAGGATTGTGTTGTTTAGGAGAACTGTAATTTAGGGGGGGAAAATGTGGAAAATATTTATATTTAGACAAAAGACAGGAAACTATGTGATGTATTTGATTCAATCTTTATAATAAAAATGAAAAAAAAACAGGTGAAAAATGAACAGAAAAGTTTTCGAAGTGAAAAAAAGGGAAGGGAAATGAAATAAGAAAAGTTTGAAAAATTTTAACCTCTCTTTATTTGTTAATTTTTCAGTATAAATAACTGAAACAACTAATTAAAAAAACTGAGCTTATAGAGATGAAAACAGAAAAAATCACAATAAAAAAATAATTAAAACATTGAGACAATGGTTAATTAATGAATTCCATTTATTGACACATCACTGAAAATAGAAATGAAGGTAGATTGGTTAGAAGTATAGTAGTATACGAATAATAATAATGAGAGAAAACAAAAGAGAAATGATTAAGTTATGCAACTCAGAATGATAGGAATAAGAAATGGGATATCGTTGAATATTAACTGAGTGTCGATTTCGATAAATGATAAAATCAAAATCGATTTAATTTAGTCAAACAACAGAAAAATGTGAGTTATCATAAAGATCTCTATTTATCAAACAAACGTTCATTGTTATAACAAATCAACAGTCTCCCTCTATCACCATTATTACGGAAAAAGTAGACGAACTAAAAATATATCGCTCGCTTTCTTAAGTCATTATTTGATACATAAGTATGAATGAATAATTCAGTAAAATAATTAGTTATAGATAAACAACTATTCTGTAACAAAATCATATTTACGTTTTCAATAGTACAGCTTGAATGGAGCTGATACAAATACGATAAAATTGTTAACTATCAAAAAAATTTTATTCACTCTAAAATTGTCTTCAGGTAGCTGAGTTGATTTGTGGAATTTATATTAAGTTTCAAAGTGGATTTCTTTATGAACTAACATCAGATAAAAAAGTCGAGGAATACTACGTAGATAGTTAACCCTAATTTTGAACGCCTCAATAACATGCACAAATGGTCCCACAAGAGTCTGAAACCAGGATCCAAAGATGGAGTGGAGGACAAAATGAACTTGAACGCTTTTTGGTATGTGTGTATGTGGTTCACTTCTCGATTGCCTACACTCTGTGAGGATACTTTCCCTGGATCTGATAAGGAAACTGGGTTGTTTGATCTAAACGATCTGATAGAGTTACCGCAAAGTCTTGTGACCAGTTGTGTTTAGTGACAAACGTCCTTTTTGCAAATTGTTTTTTATTATTTCGAAATAAGTCCTAGATTAGTAAAAACAAGAAGAGTATCACCAGTAATGGGAACGACTAGATACAGACAATTTAGTTTGGAACGAAATTCATGGGATAAAAAGAATAGAATAGTTTTAAAACTCAATATTTAAAGCAAGACAGAGTGAATGCGTGTGCGCCATTTCCAATCATTGGTTACAATAATCGTGCAAACGAATCAGCCTAACTATTAATGATTCTATGTCATATTCTAAATTTATACTGTGTATTGAATAATTAAGGAAAAAAACATAATAATTCAGAAGCACAAAGATAAAAACATCTAATGGTATTCTGGAACTACAAAATAGAGTTATTTTAATATTTCGATGGTTACGAGTAAAAAAGATAAATTATAAATTGATGGATACACAACTGAAAATCACTCCCCATTATTATTATTAGTAAAATCAATTACAAATAAACCAAAATATGGTGAACCAATCCATTGATAATAACAATAAAATAGGTTAGTTAAATTGGTATATTAACGTATGTATGTGCGGTTACTGCATGAACACACAAACACATATTCCAACAATCAGTATCAGAATATACCTAACAGGAAACCAACTGGCACGAGATCGAACATGACGTCGTTCTTGAAGTTTGACTTTATTTCTACAATATATTTGGATAATATAGGATAAGAAAAATTGAAATCTTGAGATATATTTACAGGCATTATTTGATTCAATATAATGGGAAAGTGACTGTATCATTTGGTAATTAAAAATAGAATCAGTTCAGATATTGAAACTTAATCAATTTTTCTTTAATTGGATAATTTTTTTATGTCATTCGTAAATATGTGAAAATGGAAGTGGTGAGTAGATGAAGGAACAATAGTATTTCGATACTCCGTAAGTTTCAATGACAACTATTCGACTGGCATCAATATGTCAAGGAATTCACCTTTAAAAGTATCCGTATTCCTAACTTCCAAATGGCCATGTAATGAACGAAGACGTGGTTGGAGCAGACCAATTTACTGTATTATGAAAAGTCTTACACTGTGTTTTTAAAATATGAGAACAACACAGTGAATACACCATTTACTCATCTTCCTTAAAGTGTGTCGTAAAAACTCCATTGTTTTTTCATTCCTGTTGACATTTTGATTGATTTCTGTTTTTCTTCTTCCTTTCATTTTACTCTTCTGTCCATAAGAATCTTACTTCCGATTCCTGATATATAATACTTATGTCTGTCCGTATAAGTAGCACACATCAGAATTATACAATCTACTCACAAAAAGTTTAAGATGTAGACAGAAAGCCTTTTTTCTTTTTTATTTCGTTCTAGTAAACTTGAAATAACTTAGAAAAGTTAAACTGACAAATGATGTGGTTTGTGAAGATAAGATGTTATTAGAAAATGATTAGAAAATGAAAACTTTGATTAATCAACGGAACTATAAATTATGAACAGATAAATATCTACTGTTTAGAAAACGCAATGTTGTCACCGAACTTGAATAATCCTTTAAAGAAAAAGATGACTGAAAGCAGAAAACCATCATCAAACATCTTTTACTTCAAAGAGACCGATTTTCACAAGTGAAAAGCAAATTAATTAAATTAACAAGAGTAATGAATCAGTCAACAATAAACTGACCGAATAAACTTGAATTAAATCAAAATTGTACTCACTAACCCCCACCATATATATACACGAAATACGTGACTGCAAATGATGAAATAATATAAATTAACCAATAATTTCATTAATAAATGTCCCGGAAAACTGGGTAACAATAGCGAAATCCTAATATGTTTATTTACTAAATAAAAGTACGACTGACAGCTATGACTATTCAGGTCATTGAAAGCAACACCTGAAGTTCATAAGCTTGATACTATGTGAAACAATGCTGCAGAATTCTAAAACAAGACGAAAAGACTTCGAAGTACTCTGATAAGCTGGACAGTATTCTCGAGTTTTCCAATATTCTTTATTCATCAGGTACATAATTTGAGTAAATCAAATACTTAAAATAGATGCGTCGGGATATTCAATGATGATTTATATTAATAAACACTGAATAATCAAGAATGTAGGTAAAGATCAAAATAAAAACCACAGATCCTCTACATCTCTTAGTTGTATAACATTAACTTGCAATATTTACGCATCGTTATGATTATGCATTAGTGAATTAGAAAAACCTTCAATTATAATTGATTCCAATATAGTTCAGATGATAAGTATCATAGGATTATAAACAATGTAAAAAACTATTGCTTTCTATATATAGACACGAAACAATGGTCATTGTAGCAAGATATCCGTGCACTGTATGACATTTAAAGCAATTAAACCTAATTAGGCTGGAAAAAGGTTATTACCGCTTAGTAAAAGGTGGTGTTAAATATTATGAAATACAGTAGCAGAAAAATAAAATGAATGAGATGTAATGAAAAGGAAACAATCGACGGAGGTACTGTGGAAAAAGAACAAAACTGTGTGAATACGAGAAGAGAACTAAAAGTAATGTTTCTAAGCAAGAAAAGTTGGAAACTGAGTTGTTCACTCAATAAAACAAATTAGAGGTAGTTAAGTCCAAATATCATCTGATGCAGATGTGAAGGCGCGGATCGGCAAAGCAAGAGCAGCATATTTACAACTGAAGAACATCTGGAGCTCAAAGCAACTGTCAACCAACACCAAGGTCAGGATTTTCAATACAAATGTCAAGACAGTTCTACTGTATGGGGCAGAAACCTGGAGAACTACAAAAGCCATCATCCAGAAAATACAGGTGTTTATTAACAGTTGTCTACGCAAAATACTTCAGATCCATTGGCCGGACACTATTAGCAACAACGTACTGTGGGAGAGAACAAACCAGATCCCAGTGGAGGAAGAAATCAGGAAGAAGCGCTGGAAGTGGATAGGATATACATTGAGGAAAGCACCGAACTGCGTCACAAGACAAGCCCTCACATGGAATCCTGAAGGTCAAAGGAAAAGAGGAAGACCAAAGAACACATTACGCCGAGAACTGGAGATAGACATGAGAAAAATGAACAAGAATTGGATGGAACTAGAAAAGAAGGCCCAGGACAGAGTGGGTTGGAGAATGCTGGTCAGCGGCCTATGCTCCATTGGGAGTAACAGGCGTAAGTAAGTAAGTAAGTAAGTCCAAATATCAAAAGAAACTTTAATTTGTTCAAAAATAAAAATTATAAAATTCTGGATAATTAGAAATAACAACAGTGAAAAGTATCATAAGTCAGTAAAGGTTTGTAATTTATTTAGCTGTCAGTTGTCTACATGTAATAGATGTATTCAAGTAAAATTTGATTGATGCTACTAAGTGGTCTGAATAATCCTACTGGGTAATTTATGATGCTATTGGACCAATCAGCATAAATCATTTGACGAGATTCAATCGTTATAATTTAGGTTAGTTAAAAATATACATAGAACTTTACCTAAATAACTAATCTCGATCACAGACCAGATGTAATTTTCTAATATTTATGCAGTTCAGATTTGTTGTGCTAATCAATACATTCTTTATTATCAAAACAAGTCATTCGGTCATATCATTAAGAAGATTCAGATCAGTCAAGATATCTTACTTATTCCCATTTGTTGTTGAACAAGATGAATTCAGAGTGTACAAAAGTAACCAATTCTTGAAAAAATATTACATAAAATATGAAGAGCAAATGAAAAACTACTTTGACCAATAAATTAGAAATTTAAGAAAGAGCATTCACAATCGTCTGTATCAAATATAAACCTGTGTGAATAAAGCTCAAAAAAGTGTAAATTTCATATATCTAGTGCTGTTCAAGGATAAATCGCAGTGATTCTGTAGTATGTACCTCATTCTTTTTACCACTGGTTCGATTACACTTCACTTTTAACTGAAACTAGTATAGTATCGGTTAAGTTAGTTAACCATAGGAGAGTGTCTCTATACTATTTTGTTTAAACATTGATTATTCGTAAATTACTTAGGTGTAAACTCGATTCAACAGTACAAGAAGTCAATCACAAATAAGTTATATCAATAACAACGTCACTGACTACAATTGAGCGAAAATAAAACGCAGAATAACCAATACTTTCTCCTGATTTGATTCAACTATCAATGTTAGTAGAATGCATTCTAATGAGATTGAGTGTAAATGGTTATATTGACAGCTGGTAGTTTTACTCATCCTCTATTAATTTTGACAAATATTTCCGTTTGTTATTGGCTGTGATTTCGTATTTTCTATTTGATAAAACCGAACAGATTGAAGCTGACTCAATGTACTTATGAATGATGAATCTGAGTATTAACTTTTTTTGAGAATATTCTTACTTGATAAAAAAACATAATCTCATACCTTGAAGGAATTAATTGCGTAGCCGAGTAAGATCGTTGTTGAGATGACTTATTTTTAGGTCTGTTAAATAATGGCAATTCGTTCGGACAATCTCCACCAGTAATCGACTCATTCATTATTAATCGATTAGCACAAACTTCATAGGTATGTTTCGGTGGTGTGAATTGTTCTAAAGCCTGAATAGAGATGAAAAAGAGAGACATTGAAAGAAAAAGTTAGCCTATTTTTGAATACTTTACAATTGATCTAATCGATATGAACATTATTTAAATTGCTTAATAAAACTGTTTTAATATGAAATAGAGTAAACAACCCTCTAAAAATTAGAAACTAATGATCAGGTAGAGATTTATGTCGTCAGCTTAAAGCTACACTTTCTATATGAGCGCAAGTGATTTTGACAACGTTAGTCGAAGTATAATATGTGAAAATTGACAACATTAAACATCAAGCACTTGTTCCTGAAGTTTTAATCATGCTTTATACAGAATTTACATACAGAATACAATAAAACTTTAGTTTTCACAGAGTTTTTTCAATTAATTATAAATATTGATATGGTGAGATAACCTCATGATACTTAAAAAAACAATGCTCGACAGAAGTAACCAAACAAGAGTAAGAAACAGTTAAGAAATGTTTTCGTGAAAAAAGGTTATCCTTAAGATAGTGGGGAAAATTAGTAGCTTGGGAGGATGATCTTAATGAAGATGTATTATTTGAGTTGAGCGGTTTAACTGTACAGCATTGTTTATCCTCCTAGACAACATCATAAGCACAAGGAAGTAATCTATTAGAATTTAACCATAGATGACTAAAAGCCGGTTTTGTTGACAATGAATATGGATGGCTGTTGCCAATACTTGTTGTAATATTGCCTCCATTTTATAAAATATTTACTAGGCGGAACCAATTATTTATTAATGTGTGAACACTGACTTCGTTAACCTTTCGACTGTTACATAATACTATATAAATAATATAATCGAACATTTCCATGATAAAATAAAATCGATGCATGTTTCCTATGTTTATTTTTTAGAATTACAATTCACTAATTGAAATGAAAAAGAATGAGAGAGACTTTAAAGTTTAGACTCTCATTATTATCACTCACAAATTAAGTTCGACATTTCTGAAAACAAAAATATCGCTAATAAACAGTGATCTTTATTTTGAGTAAATGAGCCACGTTTGATTATAGATCGCCTGCCGAGGATCCAGTTCTTATGTAGTTTTGCTGTTATTTTTAGTATCTACTTTATATAAGTAGTGAAAACATCAATTATATACACAACAATCCTACATCACTACACGTAAAATCAAATATTCGTTTAAGAACTAACCAAATCCTTAGGTCTATTTTGAGCAGCGACTCGACTGATGAAAGATGTTTCCACAGTCTTTTGAGTAGGATAAAGTTTTTTTACAGAACTGTCAATTATCTTCCGTGTTCTTATAGTTGTAGTAGTCGTTGTTCCTGATGTCACTGGTGTTGTTGTTATCATATTTCGTTTATTATCTACGCTATAAACATCTTTTTTCCAAGAACGAGGTGTATCCGGAGCAGAAACAGCACGTGTAAACCAATTGTTTTTTCTTTCATGAATTATTTGTTCGTTAGAATTGATTTCATCATTCTGATTAAAATTAAATATTCTGTAGTGTTGTATTCTGATCGAGACATTTGTGAATGAAGTGTATGATTATGGTTATTGGTTGAGATTATCGATTGGGAAACAGATAATGATACAACAGTAGTAGTGGTAGTACTAGACACTGGTGTTAATATATCCTTTTAGTAAAAGAAAATGTGCATAAAAATAGAAAAATTGTCTTGAGAAAATAAAATTGAAAGATAACATTTATGATAATATATAAGAGTAAAGGAAATACACTGATTATTGTCTAATAGATATTAACCATAATACAATGACTCTGTGTTACAATCACTAAGTTGGCAAACCTAATTTCAAAAAAGTAATCCATAAACTCACTGTTACTTTATATACCACTTACTAATAACATTATTTAGAACAAAAATTTAAATCATTCAGCATAAAGTAACACAAAATCATTAAAGGTATCCATTTAAACTACAAACTGTCATCATCAACATTATTTCATGAAATTTCCTAATCATCTGAAACAGTTACTTAAAATATTGAGAAATACAAATTAATCATCATTGAAAATTCAGATGATATTTTAATCCCAAATATGTTTGATATGATTGTTGAATATATATATATATATATATATATATATATATATATATATATATATAATATTGTGTGAATATCAATACCAATGTTTGACTTGACCAGTTCAAATCACTGAATTGGATATCAATGAAATATTGTGTTATATTTGTAAAATTTTAATGAGTTGTAAAGTGAATTTTAAATGCTTTATAGCTCAGTGTAAGTCGTTTCTTCAGAGAATAAATAAATAATCGAATTAGACTAACACAAGTTTAAATAGTACAAAAGAACAAAGCAAAATAAGTAGTACAATCACAATAAACCTGATCAACTCAATTCCATGTTACTCGGTCAAGGTGATCCTATGTAAGACATGCTTGTGTACTTGTATGTTAGTGGGTGTGAAAAATGCGGTATTTGTAATGTCAAGAAGTAGGGTTAAATTTGTATGTTTGTGTAACGGTATGAGGTGTGAATAGAAGTAAATATAGTTGTTTGGATAAATAATCCAAGTTTTTTATTTTCTATTGAGCTCAGTAGAGTTTAGCAATAAACGAAAAGCTTCAACAACTCGACTTTCTTTATAGTAGGAAAAACCTTTTGATATTTTACATACCAATTTATTGATTATTAAAGAAAAATATGTACCACTATTGACGGTTTATTTGGAGCTTCTAAAGCTCTATTCGATTATTAGGTCTTTTTGTGTAGTGTATATGTTCCTTGGTTCAAGTCAAAGTTTCATAAGATAACTCTCTAATAAAGGTGTCACAATCGACACAATCTAATATACAGACAAAATTCTGTGTTGAAGCGACCTGATTAAGCTTATTTTGGTTGTACTATGTATTTTTTTAGTGTTAATTCAATTCGACTATTTATTTGTTCTATGAAGAAGTGACCTACACTAAGTCACGAAACGTGAGACATTCACTTTTTTATCATTAGGTCATTGCAAATATATTATGATTTTTCACTACATTCTTATGTATGATAAAAATTTTCAAATAATCAAATGGTTCTTAATAATTTAATCAAACAAGTATACATGGTGGTAAAAGTAATTCACAACAAAATGCATCAATTTTTGATTTACTTGTATGAGTTGTTGGTGTTATGAATTGGAATATATTATTCTCTATTGGCATATGCGTGTACTATATATTAATCCCAGCTACTAAAGAACTCTGCTTAAAAATCACTTCGACTTAATGATAGTATCAAAGCAACCCGTTAAGATTGCATATATGTTGAAAAATACTGATCAATTACAATCCTTAATGTCAACAACAGGAAGAAAAAATTCTCGGAAATGAGTTAGAATTCATGTCTGTTGCACAAACTATTGGTTATCTAGACTTAGTAACTAATTAGATAACGAGATAGGCGATTGGAGTCAATGGTACTGAGTCCAAGTTTCGCTGTGAATATTATCACTAGGTGCAAACATATTCACCTGACGGGCTCCAAGCAGGACGAGACGCAAGTCGTAGATTCCGATGCTAGCGACCATTAAACTCTGTTGAAAACATCTAATTCGAAGTCATAGCATCAAATGATACAAATATTTAAAATTGAAAAATATTCAATTTCAAGAGGGAAACAAGTTACTTTCAAATCAGGACAGTTGTTGATCAAATAAAATTTCTCTGTTTATTATAATCGACTGTATGTACTCCAAGAATACAAAGTATACTGGATCGTAATTATGATTTTTAATAGTGAATAACAAAGAATTTGAAACTTATTAGCAAATAAATAGACTAGACTATGTTGAAAAAAGGATTTATTTCTTGACAATCTCTCCAAAATCACCTGGTAAAAAATTAACTGTCAAATAAGTCATTTTGGAATTTGTATATCACATGCGAAAACTTTAATTTGGCTTTCTAGTTACTTTATTCTTAGTAGATGATTGTCAAAGTCATGCTAAAATATATCAACAAATTTTCTCTTATGTCATCAGATGTAACGACAACATATATTTTCCTGTGTTAATTCATCATTTTAATTTTTAGGCGAACTGGAGTAGAGAATAATACAGAGCAGTGTGAGCCTGAATTGTTGTTTATTGAAGTACTCAGTCGAATGAAATAGCGGTAGTACCACCGTATAAGAGATTTGTTAGTCAATACTTTCAATAAAACTATTTGTTAAAATGATGTTACCGAGTGACAAACTATTTTTACAAACACAAAATATCTCCTTACAAGGCTCCGTAAAGGGGTGGCCTAATGATTCAGGTGTACGACTTTTAACCACTAAGTCCCACGTTCAAACCCCGCTCCAAATCCTTCGGTTTGGGTAACCGGACTGTATCATAATGCCTCACGCTCTAGTACTAGGCTTTGAATGTGAGAATTGAAAATATTTTCCAACTGTCTAATAACCAAAGTTATTAAAGTTGAATGTTCACTCAGCTACAAATCTACAATCCAAATTTATATACGGTTCAGGAATTCCTCGGACAAGTTAAACTTCAGTATAGAAAATCAAAAAGAATATATTACTAACTCTATCTAATCCCTGTTACCAAAGTAACAAAACTTATTGGAAATGCACTGTTTATTGATTTTCATTTTAAAAAAAATTACTAGAAATAATTATGTAATGAAATAATAACATTATTAAACTGACTAACTTTTTCAGAAATGTCTTCAGTTGATGTTTTGCCGCGAACACGAGTATATTTTGATCTTCTCTTTGTTGCTGTGACTGATGATGACAATGGGTAAACATAGTTAGGTATTGTTTCATGAGAACAGGAACCACTATTCGATACAGGCAATATTGGACCACTTACTACAGAGGTTTGACTAGCTGAATCCGATCCATTCACATCAAATTCACTATTCAAAACCTAAATAATAAAAAGAAGCTACTATACAGACAGACCAAATTTGAGAGAGAAAAAAGTTTAAAATTAAATCAACAAAGATCTAGGAAAAAGAATAATAACTACAAAATATTTTGTCATATGTGTACGTTGTAATCAAGTTAATATACAAATTGATGTACATGGTTATAAAATTAACCCGTAATTATTTGGTAACTTTCAAAACTATGGGTTAGTAATATATTGCTTAACCAAGCAATATATTTACACTTTGTTATTATCTGTGCTGAAAATGAGGTGAAATGGATGATCAATGATTATACGAGTATAAATACAATCGAATTTATTGTATACTAAAACAAACAATGATAACAATTATAACATTTCAATAATCATCAATAACGAATACAGAATGAAAAAGACATTTTGCAAAACAGAGATTTTCATGATGAATGTAATGTGTAGATAAATACTACTAAGGATAGAAGGAAACTATGGTAACAAGTGAAGCTTTTATAATTTGCTAATCATAATGAACTTTATAAAGAAAAGATAATTATTTGATTTCTAACAACAATAATATTAAGATGATAATAGGAGCTGGTTTGTATACGTACATGCAGCATTTAATCGTAAGCATGATTAATATAGTGCATTATTATTATGCAGCTAAATTACCAGAAACAAAAAAAAAATGAGAACAGAGACCATACAGAAAAACAACAAACTATACGCCTCTATGTAACATAGGTCATATCATTCAGTTACTTACAAAATAAAAAATAAACAATCTAAATATGTGTAACAATGATCTGGGTTTGGTTGCATACACGCATATGCAAAAGAAGAAGAATGCTAAAATGTCACACGATGGAAATGAACAACACAAAGCAAAAGAAACATAAAGATATGTTTATCACCTGTGTCAAAGAGGTTGGGACAATGGTCACTGATTCACGACGACTCAGCTAAAGATATATACATTGAATGAATTGATAAAAGTTAAAAGATTAAAATATGAAGGGCCGAAATATATATATATATATATATATATATATATATATACTAATTAAATGAGTTTAACAACTAAATACACTGATTAGAGTTTAACATTAGCACTGGCGGATCCCGGCTCAGTGGTCTAGAGGTTAAGCGTTCGCGCGCCAAACTGAAGGCACTAAGTTCGAGTCCTACTTCCGGGGTCACGGATGCGAGCTGCCGAATAGTCTTACAATAGGATGAAACTGCCGTGCCATTCAAAGTCTTTAACCATTAAGTACGATAATCACGCATACTTCAAACAGGTAGTCTCCACTTGCCAACACGGTCAATGTGTCCATCGACTAGTGCCTTGGTTTGATTACCCCTATTTTCTTCTAACCTGATTCTAAACCAACCATCATCGCACTCTGAGGCAGTCGATGGATGAGTATACGTATTATATGTCTTTATCATTTTATTCGACAAATATTCACTATCTCGTCAATTGGCTTGCTATAGTTACATAATACTATATGTCTAACCTCAGAATTGCTAACTCAATGGCCCAAAAGTATACGAGCAGTGCCTCGAAAACACCTACGATGAGGTATTAATTATCTACGAATATCTATTTCTAAAGACCATATTCCACAGCCATAAAGTAGAACGGAGAACACTTAGGCAGTAAACTGGTCGTTTAGTTAGCGAACGGATTACTCGCTAAAAGCTAACTAGGGTTTCTAATCTCATGTTTAGATGACGTTTTAATCGAAGACAATTCCACCGTTCACATTTAGAATAGCAAAAATAATACTGATTACACGTATATATAAGCTAAAAAGTGAATATTTGCAATCACACACACACATATGATGTATTTTATATGAACTTAAAACATTAAAGTAGTTACAACAGAATGATAGTTTCTAAATTTAATCTATTACAATATCAGTCTCAAGAATAAATAGAAAAAAAAAAGAAAAATTGATTAGTGGCTATAACTAGGAGGAGATTTTCAAACTCGCTGGGTTATAATATAGTAATTTTTAATGACTTGGAATGACCAATTAGAAGTTAGTTTTCAAAATGAACTGATACCAACTGAGAAAATGGTTAGAAATTAAACAGTATCCGACGAATGTTTTATCCTAGTTTTGGACCTCTCAGGTGTGATCAATCACGACTCCACATGGGGGTTTCAGCTTTAGGTATTCATGTATGGTATATCGTTTGCTGCTTCTGTCATTATATTTCAGGGAAATTTTGTGAGAAAAAAAATCAGAATCCAAGTTTACAATAAGTTCCCGATTCCACCTCAAGTGCTCTTATATAGCTTTAAGTTCACAGCTTTTTACAGGCTGTTTCCATAAAGCTGAAAGAGCGGAAGCTAATATCCAGCGATTGCATCAGATTAACGGATACAGAGGGTTGAAAAACTGTAATTCGAGATCAATTGTTTTCAAAACATGGTACATAGAATGTTCATTTAGATTATTTTGCTAAAACCCACATAATCTTTAAAAGTATGTCCATACAACATCAGTACCTAGATGATAAATATTAATAATACTTCGAAAAAATATCATAAACACTATTTGTATTACCTTTCTGCGCGCCCAAGCCGGAAGTGCGCTAACACTAAAATAGAATTCCGGCTTTTTTCCTCCACTACGATTACTACTACTACTACTGCCATTATTATTTTGATTGACAGAATTTGTAACTGTACTACTACTACTATTACAATTAATAGCAGTGGTAGCGGAAACTTGAGATTTAATCAAGTGATTGGCAGACAAAATATTTTTATTATTATTGCTACACCAATGAGGTGAATTGTTCTCACTGCAAAAAAATGTAAGAAAGAGAAACGATAAAATGAAATATTTTAACGAACTAAAATAAAAACAAAATCACAAAATACAATGCAAAAAGTACCGACTAAACCAAACTTGGTGAAGTCCTGAGAGAAGTGGAGAGTTTTACATACTTGGGAAGCATCACTAGAAAACAAGGTGGGAGGTACTGGGTTAGAACCTTCAGCGTATTGTAGCAGGAAGTCATATTTATTCCAGTGGTTAAAATTTTCTTGTTAGATTCACAAGATGAGCTTTAGAAAAAACTGCTGGTTAAATATTGTGCAAAGAGAAAAAATATGATTCAGGTCTGTTTACTTTTTATTATGTACTTGGTAATAAAAGAGTGATTTTCTTTAATTCTTAAAACTCATAAATTAACGTTGTTGACTTGTTCAAAATTAAATCAATTAGTCACTATTAATATATGTAATCGGCTTTGATCTACATTCTTTTTGTGTGAGTCCTAGTGATACTTTCTCTCTTTGTTGCCTAAACTGAATTAGTTGGAATGAGACTGGAAAATTGTAACCTAATGGTTAAAAGAAGAGTGGTTAACCAGTAAACCAATATAAGTATCTTTTAAACACCATTGAAGGAAACAGTACGATTATAAATTGATTACCGCAGAAGTTAAGCTTAGAGTGTTAAATAGAGATAGTATATCAGTTACACAGGAACGAGTGAGTTGACTAGTTGTTACGCATATTAGGATTAGGAGAGGAATCAACTGGTAAAAATCTGAAGCTGCTAAAACAAGATACGATATCAGTCCGTAAAGTTACTTCTCGATCACAAAACTAGTAATTTGACGGCTTTTTAGTACTGATCCGATCAAAAAGTACTTTATTCTAGAAGAAAAAGAATACAATAAAAGCGATTCAAAATAATAGTCAAAGAAATTAATGACAAATTACTTACTCGACAATAGATTTATGTTTCGTTACAATATGCTTATTCATCAAATGATTCATTTGGATAGTAATAGGATTTGTAACATTAACTGATAATACATCATCTAAAGGAAACGCATCAAATTCACTATCTTCACCATGATTATCATCATCGTCAGCATTACCACCACCAATATCATCATCGGCATTCTCATCATCATTATCCAAGTTTTCAATTTTATCATATTCTGCAAGTGATTCATTCCATTCAGATGGAGGCATTGTTTGACTAAATGATGTTACATCGTCATCATAATCATCACCATAGTTATCGAGATCATTATCATCGTCAACATCATTCTCATATTCATTCATTTCACTGTTGTATAACATACTGTTACAATCATTTAGAACATCATCACTATTATTATTACTGTTGCTGTGTTTACTAGTATAGTTTCGAGATGTTATATTTCGATTTGTATCAACATCAATATTATCATTATCATCATTACGAATATGATAATAATCGGAACGATTAATATTAAACAAACCATTATTATCTTCTCTACCAGTCTTTAGTCTTGCATTTGTTATTTCTAATGGAATTCCGTCTAATTGAGGATAACTAATCGAATTGCCTAATATATTTTTCAACATACATGATGTAGTGATACGTTCATGTAAATATCGTGTTAAATTTGTTGATAAACGCCAAACAAATATACAACTATCAGCGCTAACCGATATTAAATAACGTAGATCAGGTAGAAATTTAAGCCTAAACACAATTCTGAATGACCGTATAATGTAGCAATTGATTCACCCGTGAGTAAATGAAATAAATTTAACTGTTTATCTGAACCTACAATTTAAATAATAATAAAATTAAGTGGAAATAAGATGCAATAATTAATTATGTTGATTAAATATACGTAAGGGAAAATGATTATCAATACAAGTATAAACATAACATCACCTTTGAAAATTGACCACAGTTAACGAACAAACATGCATGTTTGAATCATGAACCGATATTATTTAGGTTAATGAATATCACCAGAACACTGAATATCGATTTCATTATGGCTTAAGAACGATGATAGCTTAGTATCCAAGGTGTTCGACTTTTGGTCACTAAGTCCCATGTTTGAACTCCTGTCTACCTGTTTCAGTTCGGGACACCAGGCGGTTCTATTAGCTTTCCTCATACCGGGTAATTGGCAAATGAATCAAGTTAGTTCAAGACTTCTTGACAATACATTCGATCGAAATCATATGAAACAGAACTCAGGGTCTTCCGTTAGTGCGATGAACTTAATCGGTATCCAAAGTTTTACTAGTATATGCATAGACAGTCAACTAATGATGTACCACGACTACAATCCAACGATCTTAGTGTGAATTTACTGTGTCATTCTGAATTTTTCTGGAATTAATAATCAACGTTTTTTATTTGAACCCTGAAAAATCCATGAAAAAAACAAGTCACCTTTTAGTATGCAAATATTATGAATACTAAGTACTTTTTGTGTGGGCATTGTATAGTTTGAAGACAATTTTTAGTTAGCGATGATTTATTTGTAAGCCTAAATGTACTATTTTTATTTTCACTATGAATACACCCAACGTAAAAAAAAAATAATAGGAACCGAACAATCAATAAACAGTCTTTCCTGTACTACAAATATTTATTTATTTTAACACATAGATATTGGTACAAGGAGGCACCAAATACATATGCGCCATACAAATCTCATTCGATATATGTGAGGGCTGTGATACTGCCCGGGTCCCCAAACCGAAGCAGGTGGTTTTCTTAGAGGGCCACACACCCGAGCCTTCGACCTGAAGGCCTGATCCACAAAGGCAGTGGAGCGTCGTAAGGAGAAGCAGTCTCATGATAGCCGGTGACCAACGATTGGTTCATACGCCATTTGTTCTCGCAGGATACTGGAGCACATGTGCACGATTGGTTTGGAATCCGGTCATTTGCTTTTCGTCCTCCCATTTTCGTAGAAAACACCACCACCAAGAGAAGGCAGTCAGTAGGACTTCCCTGGCAGAGGCTATATACGCGTGGCCATGTGGGAGCATTTCGAGAGGGAGAGCGGACTCTCCCACTCTCGGCCGTACCAGGGCATTTGGGGGCACTACAAATACATGAGGTTCTTAATGTTAAACTTAGGAACCCTCGGATTTAGAAATAAACTATTAACTTCATCTTAAAATATAATCAGCTTTGAGTATTACCACAAACAATTCATGAACTAATCTGATGTCGTAATACCAAAAATAAAAACCAGTTAAATATTTATCACCACCAATCCAAGCTAGTAAAATTTATTCGTCAACCGGTAAATGAAAACAGTTAAAGTAACACCCAAGAATCGTACAGTTTGAAAAACAGATTCTTTAAACTCTATCACTACAAAATTGAAGAATGAAAGTATAAATTTAAGAATGTACAAAAGTCTTCAGCTGCTGCGAAGATCCAATATTGTTAAATGAGAAAGAGAATAATATATTAGACTCAAACTAACAATTTAAAACCTCATTCCTTGTGAAATAAATACGATAATCTTCAAAACCTATTTAACATAGAAAGTTAAAATGATCTTTTTCGTTTCACCAAACGTAAACATTTGAAACAATATATGTACCAAAAAAATCCTGGGATGAAAAAGGTTAGTTTAAACGAACATGCTCTTGAAACAATTTACCTGAAGTTGCAATAAGCGATCCAGTTGGGTCAATTGAACAACGAACTAGAAAACCATCTTCAGTATAACTTCCACGATAACATCGTATAGGACGTGCAGTAACAACATTATAAATTCGTAACCTTCTATCTTGACATGCAACAGCTAGATAACGTTTACGATTAGTGGAATTAGTTCGATTTTCTATTGAACTAGGTAACATTGGTGTAATAGCAGCATCTAATTGGGAATGACGTCCAACTAGATGGTGTTCAAGTGCGAAATGTGCTGTTTGACCAGATTCATCAGGCTTTGATTTAGAAAATAAGTTAAAAATAAATGAAAGATCAAATAATAATAGTCTGAATAATACTGCTTACATAACCAATTATGTAATACATTTTATCATATTCAGGTAGAATTATGTTATTCACTAAAAAAATCCCTTTAGTTGTACTTTTTTACCGTACACTAAATGTATATTAATTAAAATTTAGTAAAACATACAGAATGAATGAAGTGAACACAAGTGAACATCAAAAATAGCAAGTTCGAATCTTGCTCCACCTACACATTGAATTAATTAATTGAGAAGCAATATAAGCCTATATAATACAACAGATATAACTTAATGTAGATTAGATATGTACTTAGAAAGTAAATTATAGCATTTACTATTATTTCACAAAATATAAAATATCCCGTTTTAGTTTACGCGGAAAAAAACCCAGTTTTTCTTCTGCTGAATGGAATTGTAAAGCTGTAGTCATATCAACCTCAAATGTTTTTTAAATTCAATTATAAATTTGTAATGGAATTCACGGTACAACAGAAATACATTATTAACGGTTGGAAAAACAAATTTAAATTGACTTTATTTAGACATTGTAATGTAGTTACATTTCACCACTATAATGCATAAATACATAAGTACACTTACTTCAAGTATTCTAAATAATAATGATTTATCCATACCACAAGAGATTAAACGAATTTCACCATCATCTGTTTCAATGATTTTTGCAGAAAATATAGCACCCGAATGATCAGATATTGTTTGTACACGAGAATATTCTTTATTTGGATCAAATATATGAATCATACGATCACGTGATGCAGAGCATAACAATAAAAGTTGAGGAACTGAAAAAAGAGAAAGAACCATTTGGCGAGAAAAAAACTACACATATTATATCGAAGCATGTAGATAATAGGAAAGGAAAGGGTAAACAATAGTAATGAAATGCTAAGTTTAGCTGAAAGCAATTATTTATTACTGGTTTTTCAAATACTATGTTACTGCAGAAATCCATCTAGAGAACAAATAAGTCACTATACTAATGAAAAGTGAAATATTGTTTATCTTTGTGAACTAATGTTACGTTTGAAGAGATTAACTTATCACCTAAACTGGCGAGTGGAACGAAAGTCAGAAAAACAAGAAGATAAGATAAACTATCCTATTGCACTACAGACCTCCCCCCAAAGGAGACGCATATCCCACAAGTAGTCGGAAGCACGAACGGAGAAGCACACAACTCATGTGTATATATACAGTACAAAAATGACCGAGGAAAACGTCCGAAATAGCGTACTAGAAGAGGAAACGAACCAATGGCATTTGAGGTCTATCCAAATAGAAAATACAAACTGAAGGTAAAAACGGGCGTTTTTGTTGCGAAAATGAGAAACTGAAATTTCCAAAATAAAATTACAAAAATGGGAGGTTTAGCAAGTGATTTTTGTGGATCTAGCATTGCCAACAACTAGTTGCAACGATAACAAATAATTTTTATTAGTTACAATACATAAAAATGAAAAATAATAGGACGAATGCGTGGTAGATAAACAATTCACTGATAAATAGATATTCACAAAACTTTCAAGTCTTACTTAGAATCATATCGGAAAGACAAAACAAAAAAGAAAAACCTATTCAAGGGAACAGTATCACTTAGGTAGATACCAAACAATTTAGAAAAAGAAAAAATTCTAAATGACAACTTACCTGAATATGATTGAAAGAAATTCAACGATAGAATTTCATTGTCATGAGCAGGTATCTGATAACATAATTTTAATGTCTCCAAAGAGTAAACTCTAAAATATATAAATGTATATATATACAAGTTTATAAATCGATTAACGGGTTAAATAATAATAACAGTAGCAGTATTTATCTTAAGTTTAGAAACCTCTTTAATTTAAATATCATATGATTTATTTATAATGTAAAATTGATAACGATCAATAAATAGAAGAGATATAGATATACAATCATATGTTCATGCAGGCATAATTTTATTGATTATGTACATAGATCTATGTACAAAGACAGTCAGTCATAATCAATATGGAGCCTGGAGCATATAAACGTTAAATAAAAATAATATATTTGTAATATCCCAATGAGTAGAAAATTGGATTTTCTGACGTTTCGTGACTTAGTGTAAGTCACTTCTTCAGAGAATAAATAACCAAATTAAAATTAATCCAAGTTTAAAATGAAACAATGCAAGAATAATATTTGATCAATCAAATTTAAACTTGGATTAATTTTAATTTGGTTATTTATTCTCTGAAGAAGTGACTTACACTAAGCCACGAAACGTCAGAAAATCCAATTTTCTACTCATTGGGATATTACAAATATATTATTTTTATTTATAACAATCAACCCAATGCTCAATTTATTCGAAATTATCAAATCAAACCTTGGTAATGACACCTACAAACTCATTAATAACCGGATCAAATTATCCAAGTGTAAATGCAATTGGTACAATCACAGAATATTTAATAAACGATGTTTACAAGACAACATTATCCCTAAATCTCTTGCTATAAAACCTCCAGAACGGTCCTGGAGATCTATCCAGACTTCGCAACACGCGTCTCGAATATTCTTACGAGAACGCATTCACAAATGCACACATTTACTAGAAAAATATCGTGAACGAATCAAAAACCTTGATGATTTACTGAAGCTTTTAATCCCGATCGAATTACAAACCACGATATCCAACCTGTTTATAGAAAGAGAACGCCACTATTTAAATTCATCGAAACACCGACAAATTAAAAAATTCGAAAACATCAAAGAAAAGAAGAAAGATAAGAAAACATCAACAATAAAATACAATTCGAATGATCTAAGAAGAACTGTTCATAATCTCTCTAACAGAAACTTAAACAGTCACGAAATCACTCTACTAGAGAAGGGATTAAACTTCAATTTACACAGAAAACCACTTAGCACTCTTGAAATCGCTCCAATTATAGAACCAATGATCGCACAACTACCGGAAAAAGAGTCGCATTTACTACGTCAAAAGACATCCCATATTCTGACTAAACAAAAACACATTACACCAAACATTTCAAAAGAAGAATTGAAGGCTCTGAATTCACTTAAAAAAGACAAAACGATTATCATCACAAAAGCCGACAAAGGCAACACAACAGTAATCATGAATAAAACAGATTATATTAATAAAGCTCTTGAACATCTCTCAACAGGACCTTATGAAAAGATCAATCCCAAAACTTCTCTAACGATTAAGAATAAAGTCAAATTAGAAACAAATCAACTTCTGAACGAGCTAAAACCAATCATTGGGGTCTCGCTTTGGTTTGCTTTGCATCCCAAATCATGTAATGTCTCACGGTTTTATGGCTTACCAAAAATTCATAAACCAGATATTCCTTTAAGACCAATAGTAGACTTCACAAACACCCCAACATATGCACTATCGAAATATTTAAGCAATATATTAAAACCATTACAACTCAACTTACATAATATAATTAAAGACACATATGACTTTAAATCAAAATTATCCGGATTAATCATCGAGAAGAATGAAATCATGGTAAGCTTTGATGTCGTTTCTTTATACACAAGTGTTCCCATTGATAAATGCTTAGAATTCATTAGTGGTTTACTTGAGAACGACAATACTCTTCCTGACAGATGTCCGTTGAGCATCAGTCTAATCATGAAATCCTTAAAACTTTGCTTAAATTCAACGCTATTTACTTTTAACGGTATGTTATTCAAACAAACTAACGGTGTAGCGATGGGATCCCCCGTGTCCCCGATTGTAGCCAACCTTTTTATGGCATACATAGAATCAAATATCTTCGCCCACAACATTATACCACGAATTTGGCTTAGATATGTAGACGATACATTTGTTGTTATAAAAAAGACTCATCTAAGATCTTTTTCAAAACGAATAAATACACTTTCATCGCACATCAAATTCACGAATGAAAATGTACATGGTGAGCTACCATTCTTGGATTGCTTAGTAAAAAGAAATCCAAATGGAAGTCTAAACCTATCCATTTACCGAAAACCGACGCATTCAAATCGTTATATTGACTTCCATTCAGCACATCCTTTCAGTGCTAAGATCTCGCTAGCCTTAAATCTTTTTAGAAGAGCTAACAAGATCATCACATCAGAGGAAGACAAACAAAAAGAACAAATGAATATAATTAGCATCTTACAATTTAATAATTTTCCTATGAAGATTATTAGAAGCATATTAAAACAAAACAGTTTATTACATTATAATAATGATTCGAATGAAATGCCATGGATTGGTACTGTAGTTCTACCATACCGTCATGGCACAACAGAAGAAATTCAAAGAATCTTAAAACATCACAGAATTAAAGTGTATTACAAAACAACGAAAACACTACGTAATACTTTAGTTCGCCTGAAAGAAAAAATCCCTTTCATGTCCACACAGAACTGCGTCTACAAATTAGGTTGTATCGATTGTGATGCCTATTATATTGGAGAGTCATCCCGCGAAATCGTGACTAGAGCCAAAGAACATATTAGGTACACAAAGAAACCTCCTAACAATCCTGTAGAATTGAACCAACTTCAAATTAAATCGGCAATAGCAGTTCATGCCATTTTCAACAACCACCAAATCGATTTTAAAAATATCAAAATATTGCAAAAAGGCTTTTCCAACTACAAAGAAAGGAGGGTAGCTGAGGCGTTCCATATAATGCTTAATCCTACTTCTCTCAATAGAAAGAAGGCCTTACCATACATCCTACTTGGACCATCTATCCTAACCATTCAGTCTGATCGTATTTACAATTTCACACTATCATATTACAAATTTAAACTCTATCCTTTCTTACCATAAAGGTCACACAGTTTTCATTCTTAAACAATGCACATATACATACACACAAATTTACATACAGATCACTTATGAATCACCTTGACAGAAATGACATGACATCAACTTGTTCAGACCTGTTTTTGATTGATCAAATATTATTCTTGCATTGTTCCATTGTACTATTTAAACTTGGATTAATTTTAATTTGGTTATTTATTCTCTGAAGAAGTGACTTACACTAAGTCACGAAACGTCAGAAAATCCAATTTTCTACTCATTGGGATATTACAAATATATTATTTTATTTATAACAATCAACCCAATGCTCAGTTTATTCGAAATTATCAAATCAAACCTTGGTAATGACACCTATATATAGGTTAAGCCCGTGTTGACGCATTTCATTAGCACAATGAGATAAATTTAGATGAATGAGCAACAACATAACTGAAATAATAATATATCAAGAATGATAATAAGATTAAACATTGAGAATATGACTTGAAAACATAGAATAAAAAGGTATGTTTGAATAAATACTGGAATTCAAAATCGACGACAAGACAAGAAGTGAATGTAACTGAATTATTGTGAATGACTCTTAGTCGCCAACATCCCAGCTATCTAGTAGACCTCAACATACATGATTATTATGAGTAACAACAACTAGCTTTTACCAACTTGCGTCATTTATGGCGTAGGCGAGATATCCGTCTATCAACCAAAGGACGGGTTTACTGCGCAGCAGTTCGTTCCGTCCTACTTTATGGCAGTGAAACATGGCCGGTAAGAGTAGAGGATATCGTAGGCTACTAGTATTTGATCATAGGTGTCTTCGAAACATTGCCCGTATATCATGGGGCCATCGAGTAAGTAACACAGTTGTTAGGAAACGGGTACTAGGTAAGGATGGCAAACCAATGATGACGCAGCGAAACTTCATCAGTTGAGATGGCTGAGACATGTGTTACGTATGCCCAACCACCAAGTGCTTCGATGTGCGATGTTTTGTTGTATAGGAGTAGATTGGAAGAAAGCTAGAGGCGGCCAAACCAAAACATGGCACAAGTCCATGAAGTCACTGACAAGTGAACTGAGTCATGTCGGTAGGTGTAGACTACCTGGTTGGGGACCGCGAGATGATATCAACCGATGGTTAGAGACCCTGAATGACATGGCTCAAAATCGTTTGCAATGGCGCAGGTGCATCCACTCTATGTGTTCTCCCAAATTCTAATCTTCTGAATCCTTCATGTCCCTTTTTTCCTCTTTCCAAATTTATTTCACTGGATTATACTCTTTAAATAACATCTCCAAACCCTAATCTTCCGATTACTGCTTATACTCTTATTACCTCTACCACTACGGGATTTGAATCGAAAACTGCACCTCTGTGCTAATGTGGTGTGGCAACTCGAACTGATGTACGTACGTACGAAGTTCTACGTTGTTACTGACTGACTGAACAACAAAAATCAACTGAGACCACTGATGGTATCTAAAATATGGGATTAATTTTTCTATCGGTGTAACATTTATTTTTTTTCTCTGGTTCGGTTTTTGTGAAGAACATAAAATATCTACTACAGAACAAGATACATGTTAGAGAAGTCCTGAAACAAAACCTTATCCAACTTTAAAGTAAGTTTCAACTCATATAATAAGATTGTTTGTTGAGTCCAGAGTGTTAATAATATCATTGATCGAATGAAATTATGCTGTCTTAACTTGCATTACTAAATTTTTATTTCAGTAATCAAAATATATAATATGAAAGTATACTGAGGTGAAAGAAAGTAAATCCTATCAAACAGTTAAATCTATATCTGACCCAAACACCCATAAATCTATTAAAGTTGTAAATTTTCTCCGAAAACATGTGATTTATGATGTTTTAGACCGATCCTGTAAATACTTATAACTAAATGACAGTTCTTATAGCCTACATTAATAGAATTCATGTGTCTGTTACTTAATTTCAGTTAGCAAATATTATTTAACTGATTATCTAAAGATTACACAATATATTCGAACAAGTTAATCATACAATGGGCTAAGATCTTATGCCTAAGACAATGATTCTGGAAACAATAAATTAAAAAAAAATTTATTATTAGTTTTAAAAATTCCTAATGAAACACATTTCTAAATGTTGTTATTACATTAGCTTTATAATTAACAAGGTAGTCTGCTTCATCAAACATCCATATCGAACAAAACGATAGTGATTTCTTATTTGTTTATTTTTTTAAATATACTACAAACCTTACTGATGCTGAGAGACTGCAAATTCGGCCAGATAAAAAGCGTATTTTGAAACAGACAGTTACCCATAAAAATATCCAATAATGGATGCCAATTATTTGAAAATATTCGTGACGTTCACGATAAAATTATAGTTATAACGATTAGACAGATAGAGACCATGAAAAACACACTACAGTAGGTCAGTCACAATCCCCACCCCAAATTCCCTGGTACAGTTCAGGATGGGGAAAGTCCGCTCTTCTTCTCGAAATGCTTTTACATGGTCATGAGTATACAACCACCGCCTTCTCGCGACAGAAGTGTTGTTGAGGAAATTGAGTGGATTTTCGGCGCTTTAACAGAGTTGGTGGGTATGGAGGACTCACCTAGGGGAGTTGAAGAACCCTGATTCCAAATCAATGGTGCACATAGGCTAACAAACGGCGTATGAACCCGTTGTTGGTCAACGGCTACCATGGGACTGCATCTCCTAACATCTCCCCACTGCCTTGTAGATTAGACCTGTAGGTTAAAGGCTCGGAGAGTGGCCTCCTAAGAAAACCACATTCATTGGTTTGGGCTCCCGGGAAGTATTACAGCCCTCACACAAATCGAACGATGAATTATGGATTACATATATTTGGCGCCTTTTTGTACCAATGTTTATGTGTTTAAATAAATAAAATAATCACAACACAAATAGCTCAATGGTAACACCTACGGTTAGAAAACTCGACATATTGGGTTAAAGTTTCGCAAGAAACCTTGTCGACGAGTGTCAGCTAGCAAGAAACATAGGTATACAGTTTCCTGTCAACTACCTTCGACCATCTAACACTATGTAAGTATGTCAACATATAACAATCGTCTTCATTTATAAACGGACAAAAGGAACAGACGAAGCACGGAAATAGACCCAGCACACATACAAGTGATCGCTTGTTTCATACTAGAAATTCTAAATTTTTTCTCCTTCAAAATGATGAATTAATGAAAAAGGAACATTAAAAAAACATTCCCATAAAGTTTACACAAATGACAGTAGAAAGTTTAAGAGGCGGACGATTACAAACTAGGAGTTTTCATCTATTTGACAAAATAAATTATGCCATAGAAAACACATAAACATATATTAGTAGTAAGTAAAGAGGAATAAAAAACAAGCGAGAAAAAAATAGACGAAAGCAGTGGAATCTAAAAGCAATTCATCTTTTTTAAGTACTACCAGCAACTACATCCGGTGAAGCTTTACATATTTCCAATAAATTATCCCGCAACTCGCACACTTCTGTATCGTAGAACTAAACCGATGGTCCTCAACGACTCATTGGACAATCGAAAAAGTGTCTAGTTATAGAACAATTTATCATTGCAATAAATTGAATTACATATAATAAATAGTTTTGACATGATAAACGATCCTTTATATGTTGAATTATTTACCATAGTGCACAAACGGCATAAGATTAAGAATTAAAAGTAGCAATAGGGTTAGAGTTATGCTTAGGAGTTGAGGTTGAAATCTGAGAATACTTTTTAACCACACAAATAACCTTGACTACATCCTGAATTAAACCTGATCCGCCTAACGAGCAGTCAGTGTAACAGATAAAATCTGAATAAAGAGTAAGGTGCTTCTTGTACATACAATGTTACATTTATTGTACGGTCGCACAACAGATGTATTCAGCAATTTGAGGCGTCTTAAGAACTAGATATAGCTTATTTTTACAGATACAAGCTCCATAGCATCCGAATTTCGCGTGAAAATTTCAGAGCCACAAACTTAAATCTGATTGAACCCTCGATAATGCAACTAAGTCACAAGCACAGCATCCGAGTCTTGGTGTGAGAATCAACATTAGCGTGATGGTACATTCACTCGACGAGTCACAAATAGAACGAAAAGTGCGTCCTGTATCCCACAGCTAGCGGTTGTCTAACGTTACTTTCAATACTTGTAACGTAATGACAATATCAAGACAGTTCGCACAGAATTCACATATGTCGAAAGCAGCTGATACTTGAAGTCCATTAGATCAACTGTAGGATCAAAATAACAAATGCAAATTATGAAATACTAGAAAATAATTCACAATAACCAATTAGAAAAATCAAAAATATTGTCATTAAACCACACGTACCGTAGACTACCATCACGATCACCAGCTGCTAGATGACGACCATCAGGACTTATACAAATGGTACGAACACAAGTTGGTCCGATATTGGTAGTAGCAGTAGTACAGTTACTACTATTAGTGTTAGTATTATTACTAGCACCAACAGTATTAAGTGAAGACGTTAAACTAGAAATCAACTGACAATGTTCACTGATTGATGGACGTGATGGTGATGCAGGTGATTGAAGTGCAGAATCAATTTGTCCCAGATCATTTGTACCAGGTACAAAACCTGGTCCACCTAACAGACCTATCCCACCTTAAAAAAAGCAATAAGAGATTTTCTTCTTACTGTTTTTATCAAGTGAATTTATTTCAAATACATGAATTGTGAAATGTTTCAATTAGTGAGTCCCAAGTCTAAATTTCTTTTGGCCTACTTTAGTTTGAACGCATTCAGACAGTGTGTTGTTGGTCTTCATACAAACATTGTGCTAAAAAGTTGAGTAAATAAACTGGCACATGGTAACTACTACTCAGAGACAATCATTAAAAAAATGTATGGAGTAATTGACGTACTTTAAAATTATCCTTTCTTGAAATAATCAATACAGAAATATTTACTCACTAACATTTTTGCAGAAAAAGTGTTCAGAAATTAATTAATTCTAATTATACATTTATAATAAATTGGTTTTGTTTGCAAGAATATTGAAAACATCAGAAAATTAAACAATTGTTTCTACCCTTAGGTCATGAATCTTTACATGTTAATATAGAGCACTATTGTGTTTATGTGTGATTTATGTACAAGTACATACTTAAATGTCTTTATTACAAAATAATTCAATTATTTTTTATTCACTGAACTATGCCATAGAGTAAGAGTTTTGTATATTATTAGAAATTTCCTTATTATGACCCAGCTACTCTTAATGTTTAATATTCTTGGGCACTACTTCACTCAACAAGTTTCCAAATTAGAATACAGCTGAACAGCAACGTAATTATGTTCCAAATAAGACATTTGGATGGAAGTATGGATCGCAATAAGAAAATCGTTAGTTTATCTATAACTTTTATATACGATTCTAGTCTTCCCGAAGTATCCATTAGCGCTGATTGGTTGTTTCCAACCAATCAGCGTGCCCCAACACAATCCTTCATGGAACATACTTTAATCCAATCTACGTCCCGCTAATAACTATCTGTGATCAATCTTTGGATATTAACATGAAGCCGAGAAGTTTGGTATAATGATCGCTAGGAACATTTAGATTAACTAAAGTATGTGCTTCCAATTTACGCATTTCGACTCAGTAGGTAACTACTGTTAACCACAATAAAATCTATATCATTCGCAGTTTCAACATAGACTGATTGATCTCACAAAATATTAAAGCTGAGAATACCAAGCTCCAACTGGAACAATGCTGTATTTAATTTCTAGAAACTCCAATTTAGTACTTTTTTTCCAATATAAGTAGTCACAGCACAAAAGAAATGAAAAATCAAAGGTAGACAAACCTTTACCAAAGCCATCGAAAAGACGACATGCAAATAAATTCAATGAGTGGAATAAAGATTTCATAATTATATTATATACACATATACATTTATATACTTTCAACTTGAAATATTCATTGGCATGATAACACTACATTCCACATGTTACTAAGTGAAATGTTGAGTTAAATCATGCTAAGAAAAGAGGAATTCAAAGTATCGAAGAAAGGGAAAGGTAGGATCATACTTTAAATTGATAATGACTATGGGAAATAAAATATATTTAACTCAGGTAGGTAATATGCAAAAAACATCGATCATTTTAGTCAACTAATGACTTCTATGGAACGAATGGGAAGCAAAGAATTATGAACAATTGCGTTATATTTTACGACTTCTTGAAAATAACTACTTTAGATTTAACACAAAACTAGATTCATAGCTAATGTAACTTCAATGACTATCATAAAATTTGATTATTGATTGGAATTAGTGGCATAAAAATTCAGCTACGTTGACAATAAAGCAACGAGTGTAATGGCTTAAGGGAAATGACTAAAATTTGAATACATTCAAAAACTGTATGCTTTATAACAAGGAGCCCAGTCAAAACATGATTAATTTCGATTCTGTAAGGGGCTGACAGTAGTAGTTGATGACTAGTTGTCTTTATATTTCTCAAAACATCACTTTCCACATTAACCACTCAACTAATCTTATTGTGTAAAAGATGGCGATTATAACAAATTTACTGCATGAAACGGATTTTTGAAATACAAACGAAACTGTTGGTGAGCAGTAAACTAAAGTTAGTTTAAACAAAGCTGTTTGTAATTTAAATTAAGAAAGACAAAACGAATGATAAATCCGAATTCATCATATGTATATTCTCTTTCCCCACATCCTCTGTTATCTTGGAGAAAGTGAAAATTTCTGTCATGTCTCAAAGAAAACTTATTCTTAGTTAAGAATGTTTACTTATCTAATATAGATTATCAGTAATTCAATATATCAATATTCTTGTTGGTTTTTAAAGAGATAAATGTATTCTGATGCGAAGATTTTTTGAACGCTACCGTGGCGTAGGTTTTTTGCGAGATAAACGCCACTGCTTTGATAAAAGTAAAGTTTTCTGAAGTATAAACGTTATTATTTCTTACTAGTCTTTCAGATGACTCAAAGAGACTAAGATAAAAAATCGGTGACAGTCTAATTGGTGTACCATAGTAGTAAAAAATAACTGTTTCTCATGATCACCTAGTGATGAAGAGTCAAGAAAAAAAGTGAGTATTGGATTGTCGATCTGCTATATGAGATTAAACATAAGAACGTCAAATCATCTAACAGAACTATAGGTACAAGTAAATTGCTTATTTCTTCTTATTCAGTGAATTTCAATGAGCTGAATGATTCAAACTACAAAACAGTATTTTAGTTTTTGGTCAGTTAAGTTTAATCTTTCTCTCTCCCGCCCGCTCGTATGTAATTATAGTTGTTCACATAACAGAAGACATTTTAGTTACAGACAGTTTGTATCATTTTATCTGTAAAATAAGGTGGGTAAGGTTAGAGACAGACACCAATGAATCAGCACCAAAATGCACACATATGAATATAAATAAATTGATGATTCATATAATTTTCTAAAGAGAAACCGAACACTAATGTCACCTGTAAATCCAAAACGTGGAGATTTATGGAACTGGCCAACCATAAATCTGATAAAAGTATGGATATGTGCACATGTTTAAATGTTAATCGAAATGTACGCAAACAAACAAACACTGATATTTGATGATAATGAGAATGATCAAAGAGTAAAACATACAGGTGGTACAGCAATAATGATTAAGGAATTTTTTTCGAAACTGAGATAACTAAAAAAAGTTAATTACAACCAAAACGGACCGCATAAAGATGGAATTCAAGGAAGACTTTATGCTTTCTCAGCAAGACGCCTTCGATACGTCTATACTGAATGGCTTTCCCCTAATAGAGATATTAGGCGTGGTAGTAAAATTGACTGCTACGCTTTGATTGTATTAGGAGTGATTATAAATGTGATCTAGTCAAACTAAATGGAGGTGTGGCTTAAATATTCTTTATGGTCGAACTATGGAACCGATTGAGGTTAAACTGAAAAACATCACCGAGTTAACTATATTCCAAGCTAGATGCGTTTCACGCCCAAACTTTCTATGGAATTCGATATATCGTCCGACTAGCTGAATATAACTGTGGTATTAAACAACTGGATGTTTTGTAAATACTGCGAGTGGTGATTGGACTTTAAGACATACGGACCCATGTTGGATTCTACTTTACGGATGAAGCTCAAAGCCTGTTTCTTAAGGTATATGAGGATGATAATAATCAATATGACAATGTCAACACTTAGATCGATGAGATTGTATTGTCAAATTGAGCACACTCATTCAATATATCTTGACAGGGAAGCACAGAAGAAAAAACTGGAAAAATCATTTGAGGATTAAAACAGTGCTGAGTTTATGGCTGTGGTGAAGCAAGTATACTTATTTATTGTGTGATATCAAAAGCCACTTCACATCACTTTATGTATTATTTGTATAAACTTTTAAATATTATGAACTACTTTACAAAATGGTTAGTAACTCAGTTGCTTTTACTGGTAATGTTGATGTTAAGATTACCAATGAATATTGTACGTATAGATGTATTGTAGCAGCACGCTATGATAAAGCTATACACAACTTTACTACTCGGTAATCATACTCATTAGGTTGGTGATGGGGTACAACGACATGTGTTTGAAAATTCAGTTGGTGAGATTGGGAGAGATTATTTAATTTGCTTTGTTTAATATAGGAAACTCCACCTGTAGCTCTTCTAGAGTTAATGCCGGTCCCAAGCCCGGATAAAGGAGGGTTGGGCATGGGGTTAACGTCCCCATACCGTAGAAAACAAACTCACTAAAAAAACGCTAACCAGAAAAAATAATCCAAACCATTTTAACTCTGCCCTGGGAGTTAGAAGGTCTTAATCTAGAAGAAATATGACGCCTCATGGTGAAAGCCGAGTTCCTTCGGAAGCCACGAGGCTGATGCCCCTTCTAACAACCAGAGCAAAAATTTTTATAGGTACATGGAACGTCCGAACAATGTGGGAGACCGGGAAGAGCAATCGAATAGCAACGGAAATGGGGAAATACAACTTGGCAGTACTCGGAATTAGCGAAACCCATTGGACCCAAGCTGGACAGAAAAGGCTAGCTACGGGAGAGATGCTGCTATACTCCGGTCACGAAGAGGAAAATGCTCCACACACTCAAGGAGTTACTCTAATGCTGTCCAAAGTAGCACGAAATGCACTTGTAGGATGGGAATCTCACGGATCCAGAATCATCAAAGTATCATTCAAAACAAAAAAGGAGGGGATCTTAATGTATATTATCCAATGTCATGCACCCACCAATGATAGCAATGACGATATTAAAGACCAATTCTACGAGCGGCTGCAGTCAATCATAGAGAAATGCCGAAGAAAGGACCTCACCATTCTAATGGGAGATCTAAATGCCAAAGTCGGAATAGACAACACTGGATATGGAGATATTATGGGACGACATGGACTGGGACAGAGAAACGAAAATGGAGGAAGATTTGCAAATCTATGTGTATTCAACAAATTGGTCATAGGAGGCACAATATTTCCACACAAACGTATACACAAGGCTACATGGATCTCACCGGACCACACTACAGAGAACCAGATAGATCATATTTGCATTAACAAAAAATTCCGAAGGACAATGGAAGATGTTAGAACCAGGAGAGGAGCTGACATAGCTTTAGATCACCACGTAGTTGTAGCCAATTTAAGACTGAAGCTAAAAAAGAACTGGACAAGTGGACAAACAGCAATACAAAGGTTCAATACAGCCCTCCTTCGAGATACTGACAGACTCAATGAATTCAAGATAGCTCTCAACAATAGGTTTCAAGCCTTACAAGATCTACTGAATGAAGAAGAAACTAGTATGGAGGACAACTGGAAAGGCATCAAGGAAGCACTAACTTCAACGTGTCAAGAGGTTCTTGGCCTAAAGAAACACCATCATAAGGAGTGGATCTCTATAGAAACTCTTGACAAGATCAAAGAAAGGCAGAACAAGAAGGCAGCAATTAACAACAACCGAACACGAACAGAGAAAGTCCAAGCACAAGCTGAATACACAGAAGCAAACAAGCAAGTAAAGAGGAGCATTAGAGCCGACAAGAAAAATACGTGTGTTAATTCTATCGAAGCGTCCAAGTAACCCCGATTGAAATACGCGCAAAATCGAAGTTCCAAAACAACGATTTGTCTACAAAAGCGGTTCTTTACTAAATAATACACAAAATTTAGTTACAAACCTCAACTTGTGAGGTGTCTAGTCGTTTAAACGCGTCCTTCAAGAATGAAAATAACAAAGGCCTCCTGTAAGAGTAACATAACGAATAATTACAACATATGATAGTACAAAGACAGCCGATAGCTGTATCTAAATTGGATAACAGTTTATGAGCATCGAAACTTGAACCGAGGGCAAAGCAATATGAAAACGGTTGTGTTTAAACAAATGCACAAAACTGTAGATAACGGCTACAGTGATTAAGATGCAGTAATTATAATGATAAATACAATGATAAGTACAATAAACGTTATAAGTATATGTGAACAATTCAGAATATTACAGAACAACTCGCGTTACAATGTAAGTTTGAAAGTTGTTAGGAATACGACTGCTTACTGAATGCAAATGAGCAGTATAAAACAATATACAGAAAGGGAATGAGCAGGAACAATGTAAAACAAACTTAACAACGTGGAAGAACTAGCAAAGACGGCAGAAAAAGCCGCTAGAGAAGGAAATATGAAACAGCTTCACGATACAACGAAGAAACTAGCAGGAAAATATAGTAAACTAGAGAGACCGGTCAAGACAAAGAAGGCAGGCCAATCACTGAAATTCAACAACAGCGGAACGGATGGATAGAATACTTCGAGGAACTCGTGAATAGACCGGCCCCAACGAATCCACCGGACATCGAAGCAGCACACATAGATCTTCCCATAGATGTCAACCCACCAACGAAGGAAGAAATCAGAATGTCCGTCAGACAAATCAAGAACGGGAAAGCAGTGGGACCTGACAACATACCACCTGAAGCATTGAAGTCAACTTCGAGATCAACAAGCTGATTCGGTAAGGATCGGTCATGCACAGACCGAATTCCGACACTACGGATCATCGTCGAACAATCAATTGAGTGGAACTCGTCACTGTACATCAACTTCATTAATTATGAAAAGGCGTTTGACAGTGTAGATAGGAGAACAATATGGAAACTTCTTCGACACTACGGAGTTCCTCAGAAGATTGTCAACATTATCCGGAGCTCATATGACGGACTACAGTGCAAGGTCGTGCATGGAGGACAGTTGACAGATGCATACCAAGCAAGGACCGGAGTCAGACAAGGCTGTTTACCCTCTCCCTTCCTTTTCCTCCTGGTGGTTGACTGGAATATGGAACCTCGACATCTGAGGGAAAACACGGAATACAATGGACAGCTCAGAATCAATTAGACAATTTGGACTTCGCAGATGACCTAGCCCTCCTATCACATACACATGAACAAATGCAGATAAAAACAGCCAGTGTATCAACAGTCTCTGCATCAGTAGGCCTCAACATACACAAGGGGAAAACCAAGGTCCTCAAATTCAAAACGAAGAACAGCAATCCAATCACTCTTGATGGCGAAACTGTGGAAGATGTAGAATCCTTCACATTTATTTATTTATTTGAACACATACATATTGGCACAAGATAGCGCCAAATATATATGCGCCACACAAAACAATGAGAATTCGAAGAGAAGGAAAAAAAAGGTAAGGAGGGTAAAAAAAAAAAGAACAATAAGAAAGAGATTGGTGTAAGGTAGTGTAATAATAATAGTGGCAATAATGGGGGAACGGAAAGGTACAATCAGAAGAAATCCTTCAGTTAAGGAAGATACAACCACTTTTTACGAAGAAAGTAAAAGAAGGTTACAGCAGGATCGCCACTGGCTTCTATTCTGAGCCATATCTGATAACGTCTCTAGCCACTGTGTAGCACCAACTCTCAGACCCCAACCAGGGAGTCGTGAAGGACCAACACAAGCCAGTCCTTTGGAGCTTTCTTTCATACCACGACACCATGTCATGCACTGACCACCTCTCCGCTTTTCCAACCAGTCCCAGAGTCGGCAAATAATGAACGACGTGGAATTCTCTGGGACGACATCCGTAGAACATGTCCAAGCCACCGAAGTCGGTGTTCCAAGATAGTAACACCAATTGAATTATCATCTCTGTGTCCGAACACACGATGCCGAACCTCTGCATTACTGACATGGTGTTGCCACTGGATGTCAGCAATCCTTCGGAGACAGCAATGATCGAACACAAAGAGTCGTCTAACGTCCTCAACTCGGAGAGGCCAGGTTTCACACCGACGCGTTGTAAATCCGACCTTTTACAGCCAGACTAACATCACGAAGGCGCCAAAGGTGGCCCAGATTGGCATAAGCCGCTCTGGCTTTCACTATACGTGCATTGATCTCATCACCAATGCCAACACCAGCACTTATGCAGCTACCTAGATACATGAACTTTTCGACTACTTCTATCTGCTCACCATCCAGGGTGAGTACAGGATTAAATCCTTCCAGTCTTATAGAAGTACTTTGCACTTCGAAGGTGCAAAGTATACCTCGGAGGCATCATCGATGAACAAGGAGGTCAGATGCAGACGTAAAGGCAAGGATTGGCAAACAAGGGTCGCATCCCTACAACTGAAGAACATGTGGAACTCAAAACAACTTTCAATCAATATCAAAGTCAGAATCTTCAATACCGACGTCATGGCAGTTCTACTGTACGGTGCTGAAACTTGGAGAACTACTACAACCATATTCAAAAAGGTACAAACATTTATAAATGGATGTCTACGCAGGATACTCAACATCTATTGGACGGATACCATCAGCAACAGCCTTTTGTGGGAGAGAACAAACCAGCTTCCAGCTGAACAAGAAATTAGGAAAAGACGATGGAAATGGATAGGACAAACACTACGCAAATCGCCAAACTGCATCACAAGAAAGCTTTAACTTGGAATTCCGAAGGGAAACGGAAAAGAGGAAGGCCAAAGATTACATTACGTTGGGAAATAGAAGAAGATATGAGAAAGCTCAATAGGAACTGTAAGGAGCTGGAAAGGATTGTCCAGGACAGGGTTGGGTGGAGAATGCCGGTGAGCGGCCTATGCTCCTTCACGAGGAGTAACAGGCGTAAGTAAGTAAGTAATATAGGAAACATGATTTCTTTATGTTTGAATATCTTATGACATCCTAGCATAAAGAAAGTATGTAGGCGTACTAGGTAAATCCTACACCCTCCAGTGACATTGACAAGTTAGCTAGGGGAGCCATAACTGAAAGTGACTAGGGTGCTTTCGTGCCATATAGAGGGATTTTGGACACCCGTGTAGAATCTTTTTGTATGTATGTATATGTCTGCTTGTGTAAGAAAATCACACCATGTGTGTGGTCAAAGAGACTTCTTGTTTCACACTGCACATAACGTTGTTCCTTTAACTCTCTGTATTAATGTGTATTATGGTCATCTTTTGGTTCAACTTGAAATCCCTCTTATTTTGTCTTACATTTTTAAACCTTGATTGTTTCTTTGATTCAATTTTGCATTATTTTACTGAATGTGCCAGTTTTTTTGCTTTACTTGACCCTATATTCTGACGACTGATATATTGAGCGATCAATTTCTTGATTGATTTAATTTACCCAAAAACGATAGAAACTTTGTTTTCTAATTAAAATGTTTACAATTAACATTGACAAACACTTTATCGTATGATTCAAATATAAGGGACTGTGGATCACATTGTTGTGATACCCCAAGATTACGACGAAATAAAAATGTTCAACAATCTTTGATTATTGATGGTTATTAAGTTGATGATTTCCATCAGACACAAATTCAAGTTTCGATGTCCGTGTGAAAAAAAGGTGATATTCAAGTGAAAGTATCTATACAGACATTCATCTGATGAATCGCAAGAAAATAGGTCACAAGTTTCCCTACAAGTAAGTACCTCAACTTAAAAATGATATGAAATGAATACAAAAACAGTAGTGGTCAGTAATTCATTAATTTGATATTCCAATCGATGCATATGTGCAAATGATCATGGTGATCGGTCAACCATATATATATATATATATATATATATATATATATATATATATATATATATCAGACATGCATTGGAAAAAAGCGATGAAAATATAAATTAGCTTAATATCATGCGAAATGAAATGAGATTGCAAAAGAAAAACACATGGATACATTTTTACACATATGAACACAGAGGTATGTATATGTAAATAAAATTTCACACATATATATGCATAAATATCTATATGATTTACCTTCTAATTTAGACAAGGTAATTTCAACTGGAGGATTATAAAAAATGGAACAGGTGAGTGATTGATTGAGAAGAAGAGAGAGAGAAAGAAAGGAAGAAACAACACAAACAAAAGGGAAAATAGACAAAATTATCAGTCTCTGAGATGAAAATAGCAATAGACGAGCAAGTTACCATAACAAAGATTTAATTCATTCATTTTACATCTTGAACTGGATTACATCAAACAAGCTTACAGGACTAGAGATACAGCTTACCTATTAAAACTACATATTACCTTGAGTAGTGAAAATAAGTGTTTCTAGTATTCATTAGGATCGATTGCGCGCTAGTATCGATAAAAACCATAAGACCTAGGAATTTCATTATAATTAGTGTCAGTTACTTTGAGACAATTACCGTGTGACAATACCGTGAGATCAGTAAGTGGGTATTTAACCGTTTATATAATTCAAATTCAACTAAATATTGATGTACTGCGACTATCAACGTTAATGCTATCGATGAGTAATCAATGACATAATTTCCGATTTCCTTGATTTTATAACGGAAACTTGAAGAAATTAATCTCATGGTTAGTTAATATTTTACAGCTTATTAGCAATCGAGAAATCTAAATTTTAAATGAAAAGGCACAAATAAACTACTAAAGAAAACCATTCTTGGGTGCTTTGATTAACAGAAAATAAAACACAACTTTCAGAAAAACCCAAGTATACAGGAGGATCGTATGCAAGGGTAAACCAATATCCTCCGATACAATTTACCAAGGATTGAGCGAAAAGTTTATCCTCACGGCTAAAAACATTCACTGATACATTGAAGAACTTCATAAAATAGGAAACTGCCACATAGGCAAAAAATTGTTCACAATAAGTTGATTATACAACTAACTTCAACGAAAATCACCTTATTAGAAGAAAAAAGAAAAACAATCATCTCAAATCTGCAGATGGATTCTTTTATATTAGGACTGTCTCGAAATCTAATTGCCAAATAGTATGTAGTAAGTTGAGATTCAACAGATAATAACTGAAACAGTGTTCACCTTACACAAAATGTAATCCAAACCTATATTTAGAAAAAAGCCTTTTTCGATTATTTTCTTTTCGAATAGTTTACATAACAGCATCAAAATGATATAAACAGTCTATACTCTGCCGAGTATTTTGTTGAAAATACTCCAAACTATAATTCTTAACATAAACAGAGATGAATGTCGGTTAGAAATAGAATCCTACCTTAGACTCTTCAGCGAATGTCCCTGTACCCTAGAGCTAACGATTAACCAAATAGGATGGAACGCGTGCTCTGGATTCCACTGCTAGCCAACATCTATCTCTACTCGTGATGCTTGTGACTTAATGACAATATCAAGACAAACCGCACAGGATGTACATGTGAAAAAGAGACTGATCAATAGTCTGAAATACCAACGGGAAGACTAAAACGACCAATACAAATGTATATAGAATTACAATAGACATTAAGGGATATTCAATGACCTATATTTCCTAGCTTCACTAAGATGAAGATATACGTTTTTATAGTCAAACTGACCGGGAGTTTAAAAATAAATCACCAGTGATATGGGATGTAGATCGAACTATAACGCAATCTGATTTAGTTAAAAATGTAAATTAGCGAATTCCCAGTTCAGTAGTTTGAAGTTAGAGCCAATCGTAAGACTGTCGTAGGTTTGATATAACAAGAAACGTTGAACTATAATGAAATAGTTGTCTAGTTTTTTATAGTATCAAACGGTTGAAGGTTGTTGAAAGAAAACCATGAACTTAACTACCGTGTTATTTGATACTCATCAGCAAAGTGTACCCGTAAACTTGGAGCGACAGATGATCTATGTGGAACTCGAATCCGCATCACCCAGCTTCAGAATTTGAGATGTTATCTCTGAGCTATTAAGGGAGGGAATAACCTTTTACATGGCTAAAATGAGACGCTATAAAAAGGTGGATTTGGAAGAAAACAAATATATATTCACTATGATGAAATAGATATTTTATTTTCTAAGATTTAATATCTCAATCTCCAACAAATTACTAAACTGTATCACTGGAAATTTTTTAAACAAAACCGCCAAGCCTAGTTTTAAATAACAAAAACACAAATTTAGATTCATATGTGGAACTTACTTGAAGAACGATCAATAGTACATAGATATTTGTGACTTGGATCAGTGTATATGATGCCAGCAAGTTGCTAAAATAAACAGTAAAACACTGACCATTTATTCAATAAAAAGTAAATTGAATTGATTAAGGAAGGTTTATAACTGTACAAGTAGATTTTATGGCAGTTTGTATCGTCACATGCAGAAGTGAGCTGGTTTAATCAGTCTGTTCTATGAATGTTTGCATTTAAAGGTTTTGTCAGCTTCATTTGTCACTGTATTTCTATTTTGAGCTAAATTCACACACTTTCTTATCCTTACTTAATTTACAAAAAATGAAATTGAGTGAATATTCTAGAACTATTGCCTTCAGTATTTACAAAAAGAACCCCACCCTCTTACCAAGATTTTAACTCTTAATTTCCTTCATATTACACACAATTTATTTAGCATCGATTAACAATTCATTTTCCAACATTATGTTAGCAATCGGAAATGATCAAACATAATAGTTTCTATGTAGTTGAAGAAAAAGCGATGAATTAGTTATATTCTGTAAATAATATCATTCTTGCTTTGTGTAAATCTCTATAAACTCTTTATCATCATAGGCACTGCTTAAAAATCATTAATTTACAGCAATAGACAGCATGTCGAAATATGAAATGAGTGGTAATAGTTGATAAGAGCCCCTAGACACCGATTCGGTGCTAGTTGATAATCGTCTACAAAGTGTACCTGAAATCGTAAGAGAATTGATGCCCCCTGTGGAATTCAAACCTGAATCATCCAGCTTTACAATCTGGGACATGACCACTAGTTATTACTTTTGTAAACGTATCGAAGCATCTCGATAAAAAATTTATTATAGTAACAGAAATTAAATAAGTCTATTACTAAATAATCAAAAAAGTTGGGAAATACAAATTATTAGTTAGTTAATATTTAACATTCATAATTATAGTCACGAGAGTTTATGTTGATTGATGGATTAATACAAATATTATATAATGTGACATAAATAGATACAAGTCATGTAAACCTTCTGACTGTAACAATAATCGATAAAAATATATAAAACAATGTTATATATATAACTATTTTTTCGAAAATACATATTTTTCTTTAACTCTAATGTTTCTTTCATTAACCTTTTAAACCATTTATTCAAAATCTTTGAACTCCTTGGTTAATGATATGATAGATCAATGCTGCCTATTATATGAAAAAAATCCTTATCAGTATGAGGATTTATGGAGAACGTAGTGGTCTAGAAGTTAACCGTCCACGCGCAAGGTTGAAGGTTATGGGTTCGAGTCCTGAATGAGGGATCGTGGATGCGCACTGTTAAGGAGTCACATACTAGGACGAAACGTCTATTCAGTGCTTTCAGGATTTCAGTGTTGTTCTAGCTTAGACCGAATGGTAGTTTCTACTGTGAAAAAAAAGATTGCTTTACAACTATCAACCATATAACATATGAATATTGAAATCCATTCATATGACCTATATGAACGTTTATAATGTGTGATAAAATATAATTTCAGCAAATGTGTTGACCTATTGTTGATTTGAACTGGAAAACGTTTGACCAGATTAGTTATTATCACTACTATAAATAAAAAATTTTTTAGAAAAGAATCACGAACACTTTTTTATTGTCAGGAGAGAAATTACAATTTAAAAAAAGAGAGAAGTATTGTCACGAATCAACAACCACAGTAAATTTATGGATAAAATTCAATTGTAAAGTTGTTTATTGAGATTATACAAAGGAAAAGTCAGTCAGTCAGTCAGCTACAACGTAGGACCAGGCACATATGTGCATCGGTACAAGTTGCCATACCTCATTAGCACAACAAGATGAATACCGGATTCATAAAAGTAGTTAATTCAGTGGTGGTAATATATAAAAAAAGATTGCATATAAGGACATAGTACAGGAAGAAAGAATTAGTTGGTATATATATATATATATATGGTTCATTTAAGATATTCTATAGAGGAAAATAATAAATAAAGCCAATTTGTTTTATGCGACTTCATTAAGAAATAATGATTATGAATGAATAGAAATCAATAAACTTTGTAATATTTCGTTGTTTTATAGACTTTCTCAACGGTATTCAACGAAATAAATATATACAATTAATAATCAATGAAAATAGAACATTTGGAAGAAAAGATGGTTGACAAACCATGTAGGAAAAACAAACTCTAAATGAATGACAAATCTATTGGGACACAGGGTTTGGTTGAATCAAAGTAACGCAACCTATTTTGCTAAGTGGAGGGACGAATAATAACTAATAATCAACACCACTGTATGTTTTTTTTTTAATTAAAACATACTTTTAAGAAATTATGCATTCACTTACTTCTGTACACTCGAACGTTGTAGATCCTATAAATTCTGAATTGGCTGGAACACTTGTTGACAATCGAATTCCATTATCAGTACCATTATTTGTTGTCGACTGACAATTTCCAAGAAGATTCCAAAATCGAATAGTTCCATCATCAGAACATGTGACAAACATATCATTCGACCACCAAGATTGTAAATGATTTAATGGAATCGTATTATTATTGTTATCGATGTTATTATTATTCTGTCGCCATTGTTCCGGTAAACAATCCACTGACCAAATACCTCGACTATGGTAATAATGCGATCGACGTTTATTGATTGTTGTTAAGTCATGTATATCCCATATATGAATGCTTTAACGAACAAAATAATGACAAAAATTTCAGTGGAAATATTGATTGTACTCATTAGAACAAACTCGAAGAAACAAACCAAAAAGGCAATTTTTGGTTGAATATTTTCAAGTGACTAAACATCTCCTTTGTTTTAATAAAATTATCACGGATAAAACTATTATAAGTATAGTGTTGTGGACGAAAACCTGGAATCAGTGGACGGCCGTTCCGCCGTAGTACGGAACTCCGCAGAATTGCTCACCCATGGTCCCCAACATAAGAATCCAACCCAGGATCTTCGGTCACGCAAGCTTAAGCCTAAACTCTAAATCACTGAACCGGCATCAAACAGTGTTAATATCTAAAATCAAACAATCCACGACACCGCGCGACCGTCCACTATTGTATCGGACGAAATCTCAGCACGGATTCGAAAAGCTCGTTTGGCTTTTGCCAACTTACGTCACCTGTGGCGAAGGCGAGATATCCGTCTATCAATAAAAGGAAGAGTATACTGCGCGGCAGTCCGTTGTTTTATTTTACGGCAGCGAAACATGGCCATTAAGAGTAGAAGACACTCGTAAGCTACTAGTATTTGACCACAGTATGGCAACCTGGACCGATGCACATATGTGCCTGGTCCTACGTTATAGCTGACTGACTGACTGACCACTATTGTCTTCAGTGAGTAAATATTTAACAATCGACACGAATGAACTCAACTGTTTACGATGTCTACCTTAACTCAAAAACCTCCACAAAACTATACCGACAATTATCCTGTGCTCATTAGAGATTAGCTTCAAGATGGATTTCCTGGAGTTCTAATGAGAAGACGTGACCAGTCGAGTCCGATCCGCGTCCAGTGGAGAGAGGTATACACTTCAGACAATTGATCAAAGCTCAGTCGACTGGATTGTGAAGATCTCCATATCTCAAGGAAATCACAGAATACAATGGACAGCTCAGAATCAATTAGAAGATTCGGACTTCGCAGATGAACTAGCTCCTCTATCCCATCACATACACACCAAAAAATGCAGGTCAACACAACTAGTGTAGCAGCAGCCTCTGCAACAGTAGGCTTCAACATACACAACCGAAAAACCAACATCCCCAAATACTACACACAGAACACCAACCAACCCAATCACAATTGATGGAGAAACTCTGGAAGAGGTGGACAATTCCACGTATCTGGGTAGCATCATCGATGAACAAAAAGGATCTGATGTAGACATAAAGGCGAGAATCGACAGACCAGGGAACACATTACAAAAGTTGAAGAACATATGGAATTCAAAACAATCGTCTATAAACCAACATCAAAGTCACAATTTTCAATACGAACGTAAAAACAGTTCTACCGTACCGAGATGAAACGTGGAGAACTACCACAACCATCGTCACCAAAGTTTTTTACTTACTTACTTACGCCTGTTACTCCTCGTGAAGGAGCATAGGCCACTCACCAGCATTCTCCATCCAACCCTGTCCTGGGCAATCCTTTCTAGCTCCGTCCAGTTGTAATTCATCCTTTTCATATCTGCTTCTATATCCGACGCAATGTGTTCTTTGGCCTTCCTCTTTTTCGCTTCCCTTCAGGGTTCCAAGTTAGGGCTTGCCTCGTGATGCAGTTTGACGATTTGCGTAATGTATGTCCTATCCATTTCCATCGTCTTTTCCTAATTTCTTCTTCAGCTGGAAGTTGGTTTGTTCTCTCCCACAGAAGGCTATTGCTGATGGTATCCGGCCAGTGGATGTTGAGTATCTTGCGTAGGCAGCTATTTATAAATACTTGTACTTTCTTGATTGTGGTTGTTGTAGTTCTCCAAGTTTCAGCTCCATACAGTAGAACTGCCTTGACGTTCGTATTGAAGATTCTCACTTTGATATTGGTTGAAAGTTGTTTTGAGTTCCATATGTTCTTCAATTGTAGGAATGCGACCCTTGCTTTGCCGATCCTCGCCTTTACGTCTGCATCTGAACCTCCTTGTTCATCGATGATGCTTCCTAGGTATGTGAAGGACTCTACATCTTCCAGAGTTTCGCCATCAAGAGTGATTGGATTGCTGTTCTCCGCTTGAATTTGAGGACCTTGGTTTTCCCTTTGTGTATGCTGAGGCCTACTGATGCAGAGACTGCTGCTACACTGGCTGTCTTCATCTGCATCTGTTCGTGTGTACGTGATAGGAGGGCTAGGTCGTCTGCGAAGTCCAAATCGTCTAATTGATTCTGAGTTGTCCATTGTATTCCGTGTTTTCCTTCAGATGTCGAGGTCTTCATAATCCAGTCGACCACCAGAAGAAAGAGGAAGGGAGAGAGTAAACAGCCTTGTCTGACTCCAGTCCTTACTTGGAATGCATCTGTCAGCTGTCCTCCATGCACTACTTTGCACTGTAGTCCGTCGTATGAGTTCCGGATAATGTTGACAATCTTCTCAGGAACTCCGTAGTGTCGAAGAAGTTTCCATAATGTCCTCCTATCTACACTGTCGAATGCCTTTTCATAATCAATGAAGTTGATGTATAGTGATGAGTTCCACTCAACTGATTGTTCGACGATGATCCGTAGTGTTGCAATTTGGTCTGTGCACGACCGATCCTTACGGAATCCAGCTTGTTGATCTCGAAGTTGGGCGTCTACTGCATCCTTCATCCGGTTCAGCAACACTCTGTTGAAGACTTTCCCTGGTATTGACAGTAGTGTAATGCCTCTGTAGTTTTCACATTTGCTCAGATCTCCTTTCTTTGGAATCTTGACGAGGTGTCCTTCTTTCCAGTCCATTGGCACTTGTTCCTCCTCCCAAATCTTTTTGAATAGAAGGTATAGCATGCTTGTGGTTGCTTCGATGTCTGATTTCAGTGCTTCAGCTGGTATGTTGTCGGGTCCTGCTGCTTTCCCGTTCTTGATTTGTCTGACGGCCATTCTAATTTCTTCCGTCGTTGGTGGGTTGACATCTATAGGAAGATCTATGTGTGCTGCTTCGATGTCCGGTGGATTCATTGGAGCCGGCCTATTCAGGAGTTCCTCGAAGTATTCTACCCATCTGTTACGCTGTTGTTGAATTTCGGTGATTGGCTTGCCTTCTTTGTCTTTGACCGGCCTCTCTGGTTTACTGTATTTCCCTGCTAGTTTCTTCGTTGTATCGTGAAGCTGTTTCATATTTCCTTCTCTAGCAGCTTTTTCTGCCGTCGTTGCTAGTTCTTCCACGTATTTCTTCTTGTCGGCTCTAATGCTCCTCTTCACTTGTTTGTTTGCTTCTATGTATTCAGCTTGTGCTTGGACTTTCTCTGCTCGTGTTCGGCTGTTGTTAATTGCTGCCTTCTTGTTCTTCCTTTCTTTGATCTTGTCCAGTGTTTCTATAGAGATCCATTCCTTATGATGGTGTTTCTTTAGGCCCAGAACCTCTTGACACGTTGAAGTTAATGCTTCCTTGATGCCTTTCCAGTTGTCCTCCATACTAGTTTCTTCTTCTTCAGTAGATCTTGTAAGGCTTGGAACCTGTTGTTGAGAGCTATCTTGAATTCATTGAGTTTGTCAGTATCTCGAAGGAAGGCTGTATTGAACCTTTGTAGTGCTGTTTGTCCACTTGTCCAGTTCTTTTTTAGCTTCAGTTTTAAATTGGCTACAACTAGGTGGTGATCTGAAGCTACGTCAGCACCTCTCCTGGTTCTCACATCTTCCATTGTCCTTCGGAATTTTTTGTTGATGCAAATATGATCTATTTGGTTCTCTGTAGTGTGGTCCGGTGAGATCCATGTAGCCTTGTGTATACGCTTGTGTGGAAATATTGTGCCTCCTATGACCAATTTGTTGAATGCACATAGATTTGCAAATCTTTCTCCATTTTCGTTTCTCTGTCCCAGTCCATGTCGTCCCATAATATCTTCATATCCGTGTTGTCTATTCCGACTTTGGCATTTAGATCTCCCATCAGAATAGTTAGGTCCTTTCTTGGCATTTCTCAATGATTGACTGCAGCCGCTCGTAGAACTGATCTTTAATGTCGTCGTTGCTATCATTGGTGGGTGCATAACATTGGATAATATTCATTAAGATCCCCTCCTTCTTTGTTTTGAATGATGCTTTGATGATTCTGGATCCGTGAGACTCCCATCCTACAAGTGCATTTCGTGCTACTTTGGACAGCATAAGAGCGACTCCCTGAGTGTGTGGAGCATTTTCCTCTTCGTGACCGGAGTATAGCAGCATCTCTCCCGTAGCTAGCCTTTTCTGTCCAGCTTGGGTCCAGTGGGTTTCGCTGATTCCCAGTACTGCTAAGTTGTATCTCCTCATTTCCATTGCTATTTGACTGGTCTTCCCGGTTTCCCACATTGTTCGAACGTTCCATGTACCTATAAAAATTTTTGCTCTAGTTGTTAACTCCGCCTGTAGCTCTAACAGGGTTACTGCCGGTCCCAAGCCCGGATAAAGGAGGAGGGTTGGGCATGGGGTTAGCGTCCCCATCCCGTAGAAAACTAACTCGCTAAAAAAACGCTTACCAGAAAAAATAATCCAAACCATTTAAACTCGTCACCAAAGTACAAGTATTTATAAACAATTGACTACACAATATACTAATTTTTCGTCGGTCACATACCATCAGTAACAACCTACTGCGAGAGAGAAAAAACCTGCTCCCAGTTGAAGAGAAAATTACAAGAAGAGGTTAAAGGTGGTTACGATACACATTGTGGAAACCATCAAACTTCACCACGAGGCGGGTCCTGAACTGGAATCCTGAAGGCAAACGGAAAAGAAGAAGGCCAAAGGACACATTGAGTTGGGAACTGAGAGCAGACATGTGAAGGATCAATAGCAACTGGAAAGCATTGCCCAGGACAGAGTTGAATAGAGAATGATGGTGTGGTCTCTGCTCCTTCATGATGGGTAACAGGCGTAAGTAGGCAGTTTAAGTACTTGAAGAATTAACCCTTGAGTTAGAAAAACGCTTTCATGCTACGTACATGTCGATGCACAAGATTATATATATTGAATAATAAGAGAACAAAATAGTAATTAGATCAGTTATAACTGAAAATGTTAGTCATTAGCTTTGACAGATTCTCATATGACTGAATCATGATGTTTATCAGATGATTTCAACATGAATATGTCAATTGTAGTTGGATGAGCTAATTTATACTGTTTAGCAATTAATATATCACATTCAACATTAAAAAAATAAAAGCGAATTCTTATGAATCAAAATGACAAAACAAATACAGTCAAGCAGAGTTGTAGTCTTGTCCGGTTATCAATAACAAAATAAGCATGTATAAAATACTTCAACATCATTCGTTCTTACCTATGATCATTATAAAAACAAATTATACGATTACGTATGCAATCCAATTTAATTGCAATAATATCAGGGTAAATGGGTTCATTTACATTCAGCCCAGTTGAAATAACATCTGGAAAAAGCTGAAAAGCAAGATCAAATTGTCATTATTGATACTATAAGTAATGTTGATACTTGTAACAAAACGTCTTGAAGATAAGTCTCAATATGAATTGACACAAGTCGAAGAATTGATTGAAATACAGAAAACACTAGAAATAGATCTTTAGATACTGGAGATTCAGCCAATTGTTTAAAAAATGATAGTGTTGATTATCAAACATACAGATATCAATATTTATGTAATGATCCCAGTTATGTGATTATTGAGATAAAGGATTCTGTTTACCCAATCTTTTCTGGCACAAGTGCGACCTGAACGAAGTACTTCAAAAGCATCTCCAGACATAAATTTTGTTTAATACTGAGAGTAAACAGGACTGGAATCCAGGAGGCGCGTTCAATCCTAGTTGAGATATATTAGTTAGGTGTACAAGATGTTCGAATACCGATGTAAACGTCAAAACTGGGATGCAGATATGTTTAGTTGATACATCCCAGCGAAGACGAAACACACATCCTGGACTCCACTGGTAATTGCAACCCATCTTAACTAAAACAAAAATACTGAGTTCGTTATCATTCGAATAAGCAGTTGTATGTGCATTGAAAAAAAAACTATCCTGTCAGTCTGTCAGCTACAACGTAAGACCAGGCACATATATGCATCGGCCCAAGTCGCCACATCTCATTAGCATAACAAGATAAACACCAAATTCATAGTAGTTACTTTAATTGTAATAAAAAACACTTCATATTAGGATATGATACAAGGAGATAGAATAAGTTCGTAGAAGAAGGATATGAAGTAATCCTAACTTAAAGGCTTAAGGGAAGACAAAGAGTGTATACACCCACACCATTGTGATTGATAGTGAACCCAGAGTCTCCAATCACTGGTTACAGTAGTCGCGTGGACCGCAACCAAGTAGTCTGAATCTACCAACATGGCTCAGACCAGAAGTTAGTGACTTCAAGAACTGATGCCACGTTTTGATTCGACCACCCCTAGCTTCCTCCCATCGGTCTCAAAAACACCGTAGTAATCGGTAGTTAGACATGTGATACGTGGCCCAAGATTTACAACCTCATCAACTGATTTACCATCATTTCCTAATACTCTGCGTCTAACCTCACCATTACTTACCCGATGACCCTAGCAGATGCGAGCAATATTTCTAATACATCTGTGATCAAATACTAGTAACTTACGAGATTCCTCTACTTTAAATGGCCACGTTTCGCAGCCGTAAAGTAGGACAGAACAAACTGCTGAGCAGTACACTCATCTCTTAATTGATATACGGATATCTTGCCTTCGACATAGGTGACGTAAGTTAACAAAAGCCAAACGAACTTTTCGAATTTGTGCACAAACTTGTCAGAAACCAAGTCGATAGGGATGATAAGTTGTCGATGCATTTGACTACTTCACTCCTTATCCTTAGTTCAAGTGTTGACACAGATCAGTCCTGAAGCAACAACTTGCATTTAGAGAGGGAGAAACGCATCCCAAATATCCTGGAAATGTTGCTTAGGGCTACCAAAAGACTGTGACTTTTGTCACTGTCTTCACCAACTGCGTATTCTAAGTCGATAAGTGGACCTCCCGGTAGGAAATCAACCCCACTGAGAAAAGATGAAACCAAATGTTTAGTGCTTCCTGTATTTTGTTTTTCAAATGATTTTTTTTGAGATTAAACTTTCCAAAACAATTAACTAGTTAAACAATCGAGAACTATGCAAACTATGTCTTACTATGCCTTAACTTCCAGTTACAAACAGTAGAAGAGCAGGTTTCCTACAACTCTCTATTATTTTTGATTAGACAGAACTATTAAATTTCCTGGTTATATATAGCAAGTAATATATCAAACAATAATGTACCATATAATTTGTAAATAGCAGTACGTTTACCAAACGAAGATATTTTTGCGTCATTAGAAACAAATTAACTCTACTTATAATTAAAACATTATCATTTTTGATAAGAACTTTCGTCTAAATTTGAACGAATAGTTTCACAATATTTTGACTTGAGAAGAAAACCTAACATAATTCACAAGCCAAACAAAAGTTTACAACTGGAAGTATATAGTAAAACATTTTTCTGAGAAAACAATCATGAGATAAATACTCATGAGAAATTAAACATAATATTTGCACACAAAGAACAGGTATTCAGTTTTTATATTTCTAGTTTTTGTTTCCGCCGCCTTTCCACATAGCAACAGTCATAACATATAAACGGACACAAATAGTTAACGGTAAGGAATTTTTCCGACCTAATTGTTTACTTTGTCACATACATGATTAAATCTATGCGACAAATAACTTTAAAGCTTTGTGTGTGTGTGTTCACATAGATTTATGAAATCACTGCGATTTGAGACTTTTCAGGGGAGTTAAAATAATACCATTGAATACAACAAGACATGAAAGTTAGTTTTCACTTTTTAAAAAAAATAAATGAATCGACTAAATAGTCAACCAACACTTTTGATTGGTGCTAGAAGAAAGTGTAATTGTTTAGAACAATCCATAAATTTAAATATTCTGACGAATATAATCGCTTAGTATAATAGGAAAATGTGTACAAAGAAAAAACAATTTATGTAAAGAAAGAATTCTTGAGTATTTAAACAAAAATGTAGATTTATGATAAACTCAACTCAACTAGATAATCACTAAAATGAGGCATTTGATGAATCCATCTATTTCAATAGAAATATATATATATATATATATATATATATATATATATATATATATATATATATAGCTTTGGCTTTTCTACCATTATTTGACTGGTTGACGCGTGAAATTTATGTCTCCTGGAATAAAATCGCTGTGGAAGACGATAGATCTTCTCTTTACAGCAGAATTCCTTGTGTCCCTTATGGTGACATTTAGTGCAACAGTAGTTTTTATATGGACAAAACTTCGTGTAATGTTTGTCATTCACTGCATAACCAGCACGGTGATGGAGACTACTTGTTTGAGCTGTCCTGCTTTCATGTAAAACAATCTTTTTTGTACATTTGTTACTTGCGTGTATGGTGGCCAACAACTGTTTTGCACCATAGAAGTGTTATGTTTCAAGTTCACTAACCTCTGACATTCAGTGGTCACTTCTTACAGAGTTATCTTTGGACATTGTTCAATTTTACTCAAAATTCTGGTTCTGATATCGGCATCTTCAGGCGAGTGCAAGCTACATACAAAACAAGACAGTTAAACTTGTCTGCTGTCATTGCCAACAATTTAAAACGCTCGCAGTCGCGATTTACTAGGCCGGCATATTGCACCCAGTCATCGGCGCCAGCATTTGCTAACTCGAAATATTGGTAATGAATATTGAACAAAGATCACTGTTCATCAAAGATTTGCAACAAAATTTCGTTCATCTCCATCTGTGCCAAGTTTGCGTAGTAGAACTCTGACTTTTGTGGCACCATCGTATTTCTCTAAGTCGACCGAGAATACAGCTTAATATTTCTTGAACCAGGATTCGAATGTCAAACTGGCTAAACCACCAAAATCAAATTCGTAGATAGAATTAATGTAGTCGACGTGGGGTTTGAATGAATCATCTGTAAGCTCCTTTTGATTTCGATTAATTTGCTGGGTCATGCACAGTTGAAGATGAACGCTACACTAACTTCATTCTTCCCAAGAATCTGAGGGACCTTCCCTATGATGTGATTTATACATGGAGCAAGTGTGCTTTTGGTGGAGTTTTGTTCTCTGAGCTGGATGGTTTGATCGTGGAGCTTTCATCGTTCTTCTGAACGACATCATCAGCAAAAACTTCAGATAGACTTCTATCTGATGATGTCGTTCAGAAGAACGATGAAAGCTCCACGATCAAACCATCCAGCTCAGAGAACAAAACTCCACCAAAATCATCCACCTGAGCTACAAATCTTCTCCACTATCTCAGCAAGTGTGCTATTAGAGATTCATAGTCGACAAAAATGGAAGAAAACCTGATCCAGAAAACGTCGAGGCTATCAAGATCATGCATCTACGATAGATATATCAAACTTAAGTTCCTACTTGGAGATGGTTAGCCATTAAGGTGTTTACCCTCTAGACCTGCATCGTCTGCGTGCCCCGTTGAATTGTTTACTAACACAGAATATCAAATGCATCTGATCAACAGGATTTTAAGAAGCATTCTAAAACTAAAACAGCTCCTACCGTCAAACCTTCTACTTACGCACTATGATCCAGTCCTTCCTATTGTGATCGCAGTAGATGCGTCAAATTATGGAATTGGAGCAGCGATTTCACATATCTACAAAGATGGATCTGAGAAAAAGGTTGCCTAAGCTGCATGATCACTGACAACGACAGAAAGGAACTATAGTTAGATAGAGAAGGAAACTCTCTTCATTAATAACCATAATAATAATAACGATAATAATTCAAGTTTAAATGAACATGTAGAGCCAACGTAAGAAAAGAATATAAAAGCGTTCACAAACTACAGTGAGATTAATATACAATCAAAATTGCTTGTCAATTAATTCCACTGCTAAAATACCACAAGAATTCCTCGACAAAGTGTTTATAAACAGGAAACTTTGTAAACATTCAGTCTAACCAGGAAGAACTGTGAAGATTTTAGTAACTTTGAATAAATTATGTAATTAAATTATAATAATAAGAAAAAAATATATCCATCATGTAATCAGGTAAGATTTGTTTAAATTGATAGTTTTTCCAATTTCATTCCGTAATAAATATAGTATCGCATTTTTTTCCAATGAAAACAGATTATATTATTTAGTTTAATACGCATACAGGATTGGCATGGAAACAGGAAGATGCACAAAAGCGAGTAAGTAAATATTGAAGAATATCATGAAAATATGTAAAGAATGAAATACAAAATTAATGGTGAGAACATATACCTAAAATAAAGGCAACAAATACATGGAAGATGAATTCCAGAAGCTTCTCTTGATATTTTCGTATTGTTCATCCAGAACCGCTATACCGATTATTTTCTATTAGTCTATTATATAATTTTAATATTTGAATTCATGAGTTGATCTAAGCTAGACCACCATTGAAAACCCGGAAACACTGGAAGGCTGTTTCGTCTTAACATGGGACTCCTTAGGTGGAGACAGTTATCCATTCAGACAATGGATGAAGGGTTGCTCAAGATCATGCATCGACTCAAGTTAGATATTAACACCGTTGGATGCCCACTCAGTGGTCTAGAGGTTAAGCATTCGCGCGCGAGACGGAAGGTCCTGGGTTCGAGTCCCATGTGCGGGATCGTGAATGTGCACTGCTAGGAAGTCTCATATTAGGGCGGAACGGTCATCCAGTGCTTCCAGGTTTTCAACGATGATCTAGATTACATCGATTCATGAATTCGACTATCAAAATTACCACAATCTCCACAAACCCCCCTTCTGATATTGTATAATTCTCACAACCTCAAACGATCGGACAGACATTACATTTTACAACAAAATCAATATATACATATTTTCTGTTAAAAAAGAAAATATTACTGTGCATCAGGAAGACAACACAACTTACATGTAAACTGGAACCCAACGAATGAGGTAAAGGAAGTTTAGCTATAAATTGCAAACTTTCAGCTTCAAATAATAGACAAACACCGGTGGTACAACCAACAGTTACCCATGAACCGCTTGTTGAAATACAGTTTGCTCTAGAAGTCTAAGAAAGAAAATAAAAGAAATATGACAATCATAAGTAATGACAGAAACCTAGACTACAATGTATGGAAATCAGCCTGTGACAAAATGATGGCTGAAAAAGTTAAGTTTCAATAGATTTTTTAAAGCTTCCGATAGAATATTTCAATACAGGAAATACGAGAGGACTATTGTCATCAAACTTTTGTTTCTTTAGGCTCTAGCTTATAACTATTCTATTACCATATCCAATTTAATTAGGATATACATCAGTGAAGTTATGATTTAATTTTATTGAAAATGACAGTTTTTTAACAGTCTTACGTAAATCTGTTCTTTTTTGAACTAGCAAATATGTGCCCGTTTTAATCTTACAATTCAATTAATTAATTGGTAATCTTTTTACCTATTTACATATTTGTTTATGATGAATGTAGTTGTCTGTCTGTTTATCGATTTTTCATGATAAATGTATCCTCTTTAGATAAACTGAGTCAACGATTGATGGTCCCCATTAATCCACATCACCCACGATTTGAATTAACAGACAAATAAATGCACATACAATAGGATTGATCGTTACAATAACCACACAACGACGCATAATAAATAGCTTACAATCTCTTTGTTTCATACATGTAGTCTGCTGAACCAATTTGTGTGAAATTTATACATCCTCCAAAATATTTTACGTTAAACGTTTATATGCGAATACGTAACAAAAGGGTTAGATTCACTTGGTATTGTTTGTTTGAATCTGCAATCGATAAACCTTTTATTGGCATATGTGCATTCTATGGGGATTGCCACGATATCACCTTACGCCTATATTTGCTTATAATAAAAGGATTAGTTTAAGAAACATACACAAAATAAAGTCGATAAGAAGCCAGATTTATCAGAGATTGTACACAATTTCTAAATGTTATAACCATAATCTGTGTTAGTTTTAAAAGGAAAAAATCGATAGTGTTTATCATGTACGAACAGATATAAAAGTTAAAAGTTGTGCATAATACAAAGATATAACTTAAATTCACCAGTCTTGAGATGGTAAAGATTTGTAGCTCAGGTGAATGATTTCGATGGAGTTTCGTTCTCCGAAGTGGATGCAGGTACATCCAGCTGACGAGTCTCGAAAAGGACGAAACGCGCATCCTGGATGTCACTGCCAGCCACCAACCATCTTTGCTTCTTATGTGAAAAAATTTCGCTGGGAATAGACTACTTTGTAGAACGAATCCAGTGGGATTAGCAACACTTATCATTGATGTAAATGACTGACTTCCAACTTCAATACAATAAAGATCAGACGAGAGATACAGAAATAGTTAAGAAACCTTGTATGACTGAATAGGATATGGGATTCAATAGAAGTAGCGGCTTCATATTACTTAACGTATACATTTTTTTATTGGTTGAACGTCCTTTTTAATATTAGTACTAAACCTTGAAGGTAAATCCCATTACCAACTGTTATCAAATAATGAATGAAGATGTTTGATCCTAATTTGAAAGTCCTAGTAGTAGTACACACTCAACACACAGGATAGTGGCCTGTATTTTATTAATCAATTGGAGGGTGCTATAGAATGAGTCATAGATATACATTGGATGTAAATTGTACCACATTCCAAAGAGAATAAACTAGAAAACTTAGTCTATTAGATTCTAATCTAGGGGTTTGACATCTGGTCATCGATTTTCAACTTCGCATGACAACGTATAGGGATATTACTGAACGGTTTCTAACTATCAACAGTTTTTTTTTAGTTGACGTCAATTCTTAACAAAAATCACCCTTAAGCTAAACAAATATACATTAATTTAAAATGATTGGCAATTAATGTTGATTAAGCTTAGAAAGAACATAAAACACATTAGTAACAAACAGATACAAATCAATAGTTTGTACCATTCATTTAATGTTATAACGAAATAAGTTGCATATATTATTGACTATTGAATGTAGTGAAAATAAAAAAAAGTTACAGTTACAGTCATTTGTTAATTGTACATTGGATAAACAATGATATAACATGAATGACAAAGTTTTATAAATTAATTGAAAAAGTGTTCGTTGGTTACCTAGGGAATACTAGTTTGAATGCTGCACTGATTAAAATGATTATCATTCAAATCTAGTCGATAAAATTAAAACAAACTGTAAGTATACATAAAAGAAACAAAGGATGAAGTGTTAATTTTGTTACTAAAAAAAAAGGAATCAACTGACGTCATCTACAAATATTCATCAATAAAGCATAAAAATAAATTCATTGGTGTATTTTATACGTATTAACTGATAATTTAATTAAAGCTCTAAACAAATTAATAACATACATTGGATGAATGATTTAAAAAGAACAATGTACGCAGTAGACAAGTATAAAATAAAGATAGGTAGATAGACACACATAGAGAGAGTAAGAGGGATAACGATGAACAGTTCAATAACTCACTTTTAAATCAACCCATTTGTCTAGATCTCTTTGACCATTAAATTGTATTAAACGACCAGCTGTATTTACGACTAATGTCAAAGTAGTAGATATTGTGGTTGATGTTGTTGTAGAGCCGATACCTGGAGACGGTGATGATGATGCTGATGCAATTTTACCACTGTTATTATTTGTTACATCTTCACGATCTTTTCCTTCGCCTCCTGCTGTAGATTTCAATTTAGCAGAATGAATTTGAGTAGAACCGGGATTAGAGGAAGACAAAGTAGGCGAAGAAGAAGACAACGACGAAGACGAATTAACACAGCATACATCAGTAAATACACTGTTGAACATATCGCCTAAAATAGCATTTCTTCCATGAAGTGGTAGAGTTTCACGAATCTATCAGTTAGGATGAAAAAATAAAGGTGAAGAAAAGTGCAGAACAATCGTATACGTAATGTTTGTATTGTTGCTACGATTATAATGAGTGTTGACTTACCCTAACTTCGTACATATCACCTCACATTTCACTTCATTTGGTGTAATACCAGTTTAATGAAGACATTATGTTTAGTTAAACAATATATTGCTACGACATACGCATATTAATAACAAATAGAGATGCTCGAATTTCAGCCCAAAAATTTTAAAGTACCATATGATCATCGTGATGGAGACTAGTGTTTTTGTCTAATCTGAAGTCAATGATAACAGTGGAATAGATTACATGAATTAACATAATAAGTGAAAAGTACAAATCGGTAGTGCGATGACAGGCGTACTAGTTGCGATAAGAATAATAAAGGCTTGAAACAATGTTTCATAATGGGAAATAAGTCAATTGATTAGAAAATATAGACACTGAAATCACATTCCAAAAAAAATCATAAGATTATGTAATAAGCATCCAGATTATTGGACCGTGAAGCGTATATTTGAGAAAAGAAAAGGGTGGAAGAGGGCGAAGAAAAACAAACGAAAGAGTATGGAATATAATAATAAATAAAATCAGTTGATAGGGTCGAGGGGAAATAAAGGTGTCAAAAATTTCTTAAGAACACAAAGATTTGGATTATTAGCTCGAATTTCTGTAGCTACTGCTATTTGTAAGAGACGAGATCGAACCCCATTGAGGAAACTAATAGGAATACGACAAATAACTTTAAATAACCTATTTGTGTTTACTAAGTGACTGCTATCGATAAAGTGTGATAGAACCGAGCTGCGTATTGTCTTGACATTACCTTTTCCAAACCACGAAGGAAGGTGTTCATTAACTATTTGGCTCAGTTGCCTGGTAGTGCGCCCAATATAGCTTTCTCCATAGGAGCAGCTATATTCGTAGATACTAATAGAAGTGGCATGACGAGGTAACTTATTATTTAGTTGAGGAATCACCACAGATCGGGTCGAGTACAATAGACAGATGTTAGCTGCATTAAACGTTCTCATAACTGCTCTAGTCAGTCTATCACGTAGCACATCACCAGCGACATCTCCATTGAATTCCAGTTTCAGAAAGAGGGGTTTCTTAGTAGCTGTTGATGTCACTATTTTCTTGTTTGTTACATGCAAGTATTTCCTTCAGGAAACCTTGTGGATAACCCATTTCCATCAACATATTATGTATAAGCTCTAATTTCTTATTCAATGACACTATGGGTTATTTTAATTATCTGAAAAGCTCTAATTCCTTATTTATTGTATCAAATGAACATATCTTCCTAGCTCTATTTGCAAGAAATTTGACTAGGTTTCTATTATAGTGAAAGGGGACAAAGCTCGAAAAATGTGTGCATTGGCTTGATAAAGAATTTTTCCCATACACACTTCTACTGATAGAACCGTTTTCTTTTCTGTTTAACAAAACGCTGAGGAAATGTAGTTTATTATCGAGTTCCTCTTCACACGTAATTGACCGGTTTACTAATTTCATATATGCATATAAATATTACTGTATATTAGAGTGAAGCCTGATGAGGATCTAATCGAAAACAATATTGTTCGCTTATATATGTTGTTTTAAATCACAATATGAGAATTTTTCAAATTTTATTCTGAAGTCATCAATGCGTACGGGTACGGAGTACTAGAGGAAAATAGAAAAGATAATCCAATATATCTTAATTATTAATAGACATTCAAACAATACTACTAGTGCCATAAAGAGTCATACATCCAAAAAAAATTTAAAAGATAATCTTCTTATTCAAACTTCAATAAATCTAATGATTTAATGAGAGTCACTCGATAAAGGAAAGTTGTGTAGAAAGCGATATAGCTGGAAAAATTCTACAGATGTTTTACCATTGCAAATAATTCCTTACAACATCAAAAATACAGAACATTTAAAGTCAATTGTATTAAATTCATTTTAATGAAATAAACCGGGAAAAACCTACTAATTTATCGTAATGACGTCGATGAGACATTATCAGAATGACAGAAAGCTGAAGAACTCGTTAAAACACTTAGAGACACAATTATCATGTCAATGTATGGGATTTGTGGAGCGTGTAGAATTTTCACCGTTCAAATTACGAACTGATTCTTAGCTAGATCACGAGTTGAAATTCTGAAAGAACTGAACAGCCATCTCGTCCTACTATGGGACTCTTCAGTACTGCACGTACACAGCTCTGCACTCGGGAATCGATCTATTCAAGCATAAAAAGCATGAATTTCTAAGAACGTTCCTACTTCCAATTAATAGTAATTTGGACTCTTCAGGGAGATCAGTATTCATGTAATGTCAGTGAATGAGGAGTGTTTCCAATAATTCAGAAAAAAATCCATAATTATGTAATTAGTAAATCAATATTTTTCGTGTGATTAGTTCCCTTGACAAATGTGAAATAAAACAAGGTCCACGATATTTGTAGACTACAGTGAATTAATTAAATATTGTTCATTTCTCTCCACTTAAATACAAGTTAATAAGCTAAGTTGATTTAAAATATTAACATGAAGTTTTTTCAAGAAATGAATCATCATGAAAGATCATCGAAATGTTTAAGTGAAACGGTAGTTTAATGACAAAAATTTATAGCTTCCCATCAGGTAGGTTACACGTACGAATCTACAACTACCTAGTTCGGGGCTTAGATAACCGACAATCTCTAATTAAAAAGTAGCTGGACGTTCAATACATAAATCTATGCTTGGTACATTAGTTAATCAATTAAACCATTGAAATTCATTAAAAGGTAACATCGTAATAACGATTTTTAAAGTAAAGTTCTTCGAAAAATGCCATTTTACTTCTGATTATTTACGTCCAACTGACAATTTTTTTTTTGAATATTGCCACAGTTAAGCAATTTATATGAAAGTAAATATAGTGACCAAAATTACAAAAACACTTACTTTACTGCGTTTATTTTCTAAATACCAAAAACGAACATAACGTACACCAACTGTAACAAAAAATTGTCCCATTGGACTGAAAGCAATTCCATAGATCTATTAATAGGGAAAAAACGGAAAAGATTTATAAATAAAATATTTGTGGAATAAAAACTATATTAATTGCTATACAAACTGTCATTCAAGTTTAAAAAAGATAACTTCACAAAATATTGAACTCGGTGTATACCAACGAATGGTGAATAGTGCATTAACTAATATATATACTCAATGTATATGAAGGGTTGTAGATTTCATGAATTTAAATTTAGAACTAACTTTTTACTTTTACTGCTTATATTAGTTTTTTGTAATATATCCTTGTGAACAATTAAGAATTGGTGCTACACAAAATCTTTCAGTTTTTATTTAAGAGTTACTAATCCTAAAGAATCCACAGATAAAAAACAATATAATTCGTGTTTTTAAATGTGCAATACAATGGATGGATAGTTTAATGATGAGCGTACACTTAACGATTCACAAAGCTAAGCTGAAAGTTTGAACGTTACCATTACACAATTAAATTACAGCATTGAAGTAGTCTGTAAAGACTAGTAAAGTAACCTTGGGAGAGAAATGCCGACTTTTAAACAATAAAATTCTGGTGATATAAATCAACATCTTAATGCAAAAAACAGAAAGTCTATGAGTTTTGGTTCGGATTAGGAGTTAGAGTATGGTTTAAAAATTACAGTTAGTATAAAGTGTTAAAGGATAGGAGTAATGATAAAAAATCGAGTAAGTAAATTTCAAGTATGGATGAATATTTATCTAGATCTTTGATTTTAAGTATTTAAAACCGTATAGATTATCTTAAAAATGTATGGATCATGCAACGCTATCCTTAATATTTCTCGTGTTTATCCGTTTTAACCATTTTATTGCCTAAATATTGGTTGTATTTACTCAGACTTTAATAAAATACACGCTGTCCATCACTGTGTGCTGAATCTAAAGTAAAATTACAAGGTTCACCATCTTAAACCTCAATGCCCAGACAGTAAAATACAGTTTTACCAACTACACTAGCATTAATTTAAATAAGAGCACACAAAACGTTTTTCTCAAAAAATGAGATCCTACAAATTTATACTTCACATTTATTTTTCAAGAAAAAACACTTTGAAAAGCTACAGAAATTGTTTAAATTACTACATTTATAATAATGGAATAAGTAAATAATCAAAGTTTAACGCTTTTTTACCAGTTTCAAACATTTGTTGATGTATGGAAATGCATAACCGAAAAAAAAAATGATTTACAGAGTTCCATTGAACTAGATTTCAGTAGAGGAATTCATTGTTAAACAGTTTGACGTAATTTGAATAAAAGCTGAATAATTAATTGTCAATTTATGGAACGATGCACGAAAATGAGGTCTGACAGTCAACTCTTAATTGACTAACCTACAAACTGAATTCCTTTAATAGACTATGGTATTTTATCAAGTTTATTATGTTCGTATTCACGATGTATGTCATTTTATTACATGAAGAACTATCCACCTGTCCAATGGTCTTGCTATTGAGTTCTAATCATTCGTAGACAATAATACGGTCTTTCGAGTAACCATTACTCGGAAATATCATATCACTGTGTTCATTTGTCGATTAGCATTCTACAGATTGATTTTAACAAACAAAAATCTCATCGCATCATATCATCAAACACCTCTCCATAACAGTTTGTGCATAAATAGCTGAAATAACACTGAAAAACTAAGTATTAATGAACTAAAATGTATGAGTTTTATCAGTAACAGCTATAAAATCCTAAATTACGTTAAAAATCAAAGTTATGTACAAAACATATGACCAGATAAAAATAGGTTTCAATTCAAGTTGCAAAACTTCACTCACCACAAATAGGAGTAAAGAAATCGAAAGAATAAGACGGATATTAGAAAAAACCAATCATAGGAAATATAGATCAGAGGTATGAATAAAATTAATAAATCAGAAATATGCAGTAACATAATCCAAGGTTTAAAATGATGATACAGAATGACAACAAGGACAATCGATTTATTAAATTACTACGTCTGACAACAACATTACTCATTTGTTGGTGATTACACCGAAATTGAAATGTGCTTCGAAAACAATAACACTTTGCAAAGGAATGAAAATCGAGTTTTTTTATTAGTATCTGTAATCGGAGCCAAAATTTTACCTTACTATACTATCCTTTTCTCGCCCCCTCAATCTCTCCAGAAATTTCGTGCAATTGGTTTTATTTTATGAGTTCGAATAAATCCAAAACAATAACTGAGGCTGAATAATACGAATTTATTATATCTCGTGGTTCCTCATCAGCTGCTTACAACCATATATGTAATGAAATGTAACATTGAGGTAAGATGTAATGTGAAGCAATTGATAATACTGCCTTATCTGCCTCCTTTCTATGTTTTTTTGGAACTCGATCTCCAAATGGTCTCACATCTGTTCCTCTACATTATATCTCACCTCAAATGTTACATTTCAATACATATATATGGCTGTAAGCAGCTAAAATGAGAAACCATGAAATATAATGAATTCATATTATTCAGCCTCAGTTGTTATTTTGGCTTTATTCTGAAAAATAAAAGAGTACATACTTATTGTCTAAGTAGTTTGATGACATTGATTTCATGAAGAAGTGTATACAAAAAAATTATATAAGTGGTTTGCAACTCATATTGCTTTTTTAACCATTCTTGCTTATCAAATTTTTAGGACATTTCTATGCCAAACAAAGATAGATGAAGGCAAACACATAGATAGAATAGAAAGTTGATTTCTGACGAAAACTCTATTGGAAAAGAAAATATGATAACATAAAACCATTGGGTTTGAAAATTATCCAACGAATTTTCAGAATATAAGTTCAATTATAATTCAGTCGAGTAAATTCACATGATTTGACCGTAAAACATCATTTTCAAGGTTAAACCTGGGTTTAATACAATTTTTTCGTGAGAATATTCTGAAACGAAAGAACTAGCTGTTTATATCACATTAATATTTTAATAAATTTGAAATGTTATTCTATACATTTCAAGTTTCTATAACAAGACAGATAATCTTGAATTTACGCTTGTCAGTCACCGCATTTAGTCAATTGTAGTACAGTACTAGATAAAAGTACATTTTGTGTCTATTGAGCTGTCGATTCATGTTTTCTTTATTCCTCACTACCTTCAAGATTCACTCATCCACATCAACGTTATTGGTTAAACTCTACAACATTACGTTTTTAGGTCAGATGCAAAACTATAGAACGTTACATTAATTAAGATAATTAAAACCTATAATTAATTGATGGATGCATATGTGTATCAAGTTTAACTACATATATTTTTGTATAATATTTTTAGGTAAAGTAACTAATTTGCTGAAAAAACACCGACTACTTTCTTCATGTAACAAATAACAAAATCAAACGAATTGACAGCTCAGTGATTAAGGTGTACGAATTCTGACTAATAAGTCACAGGTTCGAACTCTATCCCATATACATTGGTTTACGTAACCCTGTAATATCACTAGCTGTTAGGTCTAAAATGTGAGTCGAAGTTAAGTACACGAATTCGTACTTCATAAATGAATTGAATAGATGAATAAAATGGAAAAAGCGATGAAATTTTTATGAAACAAAGACCTGAAAACTAATATTTTTTTAATACAATCTATTTTCGCAGAATTGCATACGTATATAAGTAAAAATATGTCGTGAAGACCATTTTATCAACGTATTTCACATAAAATGTTTATGTATTAACAAACTAAAATGGAAAACAAGAAAAAAGGGATACTGAAATTTTAAAAAAACTTGAATAAAAAATAAGCATGTTACTTCTTATGTGTTTAATAATAGTAATACTAACACTACTACTAATAGTAATAATAATAACAATGAACTAAGACATACTCGGTTGAAGTAAAATAAGTCATTCTAACATTCATTCACAAAAATAGTTTATTAATAAGGTGTAGAGTTTATCATCATGTTACAGAAGTTCTTAAAACTAACACACATAAAGGCAATCACAAGAACGTTGTATTTTGAACAAAAAAATATTGACTCAAATATCTATGCCGTGTGACAAGAGAGAGAAAATTATCAAATAAATAGGGGAAATATAAATGGATAGAAATTAATAAAATATACTAACAAGATGCTTAAGATTGAACTCATATTATGTCGGTCGATCTGAAATTGACATTTGAATTATTCAAATCATGATCTTTAAAATGTTTCACAAGGGATTCATTAATTGAAGATGCTTCGAATCTTAGTTATTTTCATTACTGAAGATTTCTATTCTAATTAATTAGCTTAACTTCCCAAATAGTATTTAACTTGTGCAAATCCAATTCAATGATATTAGGAGTAGGTAAATTAGTTAGAATATAATGTGATAATCTAATATATTATCGTAACCTGAAAAAGTTTTCACAATTGATAGTTATCAATAGATATGTCAATCTGCATTGTAAGTGCTTTTTTTCAACTAACAGCTGAAATAAAAAATCTAGTGTATGTAAATTAAGTCAAACCAAACGGACAAAACGTAGTTTTATTACACAAGGATACAGGAAAACTAATTATGTTAACAATAATAAATATATTTTTTGTTATTTCCCAATAAGTAGAAAATTGTATCTCTGGCGCTTTGTGACTTAATGCGAGCCACTTCTTCGGAGTAAATAAATAACCGGATGTTTGCATGATAGTTTATATAAGAACTCTATGTAAAATAAGTGTGAACAGTTCAACATATTAGAATTCAATAGATACATAACTAGTTGGTATAGAATAAATGGAATGCGGTTAGCAGTGAAATCCAGTCGCCGTGTTTCATCCTATTTAGGATGAGTATCCTGGATTCCATTGCTAGCCAAATTCCATCTATTCTATACTAACTCATGTTATAATGGCTAGATCGAGACAATCTGCATAGGATTCACATATACCAACTAAAACTAATTGAATTTCAATCAACGTAAAAACGACAGGATGATTCAATCCATTCCAAATCAAATTAAATACCAAAGCTAGTCCCTTAT